AGAGCCCGTGTTTCTCCCCGTGGTCCTTGGGGAGCCCGCCCAAGGGAAGGCACGTCCCCCCATGTCCCGGCCGCCGCCCACCGTGGTTGGGTGTGCGTTTCTTAGCCGTGAGGGCGGCTGGGGGCACGTGCATTTCCTGGGGGCTACACCGTGGGCAGTGACATGGCCGGCCCTGCGTCCTGGGGGGCGCGCCCCCCGCCACGGCCCGGCTCCCCACCTTGCGCAGAGAAGCTGCCGCCCGGAGCTGCGAGGCGACCACAGGCCGTGGGCGCCAGGGGCCAGCACTCGCGAGGAGCTGCCGCAGTGCAAGCGGGCGCGTGACGGAACATGAGGGGAAGCCGTTCGGCGGTGAGTCAGGCAGCGTGCAGTGCGTGGTTTCCTCGCCCTTGGATCAAGTTACGTTCCACGAAAACACCACAGTTCATACAGTAAAACGTACGCAGGTCACGCATACCCTTGAGACAGGCAAGGAGTCCTGTTTCCCAGCCCTGGTGTTATCGAAGCACAGCTCTCAATTAAATGATGTTATCTAATTCAGTCCTCCCAAGTCTCCGTGACGTCCCCCCGCCGGAAGTCACGTCCAGGGAGGTGCTGGTGAACCAGAGCGCAGCTGAAGCGGCCCCCTGGTGTGCGGGGTTTGCTGGTTGCCCCTGGGTAACTAACGTTGCTGCCGTGGCCAGCTCCACGCTGTCCGCGGGGGAGCAACCATCGCCGCATCTCAGCACTGGAATTAACCGTCGGCTCTGCGAGCCGGCTGCGGCCTGTCCATGGAAGCAGGATCGCGCCCCCTTGACAAGCTCTTCCCAGATACCACGTAGGGCCGCGGGGAAGCCGGGCCCCGTCTTGGGCCAAGGGGAGCGGCAGGGAGCAGGGGCTGAGCTGCAACAGGCTTCAAGCCAGCTTTCCTTTGCGTTTCTATCTTTTTCTCCCCCGAAGCCACACGTTCAGGAGAGCCCTTGGAGGGACCTTGCAGGGCGAGCTGCTTGGATACATGAGCACGTGGCCTCGGTTTTAGCTGTTCTCCAGCTCAAAGGCGGCTCGGCCGTGTCGCGGAGGCTGGAACGCCGGGCGCTGCCTCCACCCAGTGGCGGACCACAGCGCAGACTGGCCCGCCTCCTGCTCACGGCTCGTCGCCTCTCACAGACTCTCGGGAGCCGCGCTCTCCTCGGCCAGCGGAGTGGCGCGTGTTGGTCGCGCTGGCCAACGCCATCCGTGTTGGGCTCCCCTGTGATGCCTGGGCCCGTTGCCGAGCCCCGGGAAGGGCCACGCGGCAGCCTGCATGTCACCGATGGCTTAGAGGCAGTGAACTCTTGACCTCAAGCCCCGGTGACGAGAATTGGTTACCGGTGGTGTCCCGTGCGGCAGCTGGGACAATGTCGGGAGGGTCCATCGAGGGAAATGGAGCCCACCTCCCCACAGCGAGGCCAGGCCGTGGCTGCGCAGCGCTGGGGACAGTTCCGGGCTCTAAGACGTGGCTGGTTTTGCTTCCTCATAACCTGCCTTTTTATTGTCAGTGTCTGAATAGCCAGTAAATGCATTTGGCTTTAGAGGCTTCTTTTAGAGCCCGTGTCACGTGGTAGAAATGGTGGCCCGTTTCCTGCCTGGATTCCTGTGTCACTTGCGGCCACGTCCCCGGGGGAGGCTCGCCTTCGGCTACTCGAGACGTCGTTCACATCACATCGTGTCTGCGCTCAGCTCCACGGCTCACTGCCCCCGTGGGCCGCCTGCGGCGCCCTCCGCTCTCCCCCACCGCCTCCCTCAGGCTGCGGGCCCACGTCCCCAAAGCTCCCCCGTGTCGGCTCTGGATATTGGAAGTCGACAAGTCAGGCCGACCCTGTCCCCCGGGGGGACAGGCGCTCTTCCTCGCTCCGTCCCCAGCCCGCGGGCCCCGGCCAGGATGAGCCAACGCACCCTCCGCCGCTGTAAAATTTTTAGTAGGGGTCTCACAAAGAAAGGTTTCTTTCCTGTTTCTCACAGATCGGTGTGAAAGCTTCCTTTGTCCTCCTGGTGACAACTGTCCTTCAGGTGACAGCTGGAAACTCTGCAGCTTCCCATGGGACTCACTGCCCGGATCCCAGGCTTGGCCTCCGGGGAGGCCCCGGGGCCAGCCCGCCACTCGGAGACCGAGGTTGGCCTGAAGCAGAGTGGGGAGAAGAGACAAGGGTCCCCTTGGGAACAAAGCGCTTGCGGACGCTCCTTGTCGACCAGCGTTGAGGTTTCTAGGCCGAGGTGGTTCTGACAGGATTTCCTGATTTTAACAGGGATCTCGTCCCCCACCAAAGGCAGGGAGAACCTACCCACGGCTCTCACGTTCCTTGATTTACTTACTTTGGGGCCCGAAGGTTCTTTCGTCCGAGGCCGCGCGTGCTCCACCTGAGGACCCCTCCCCAGCCCCCGCGGGACTGCACAGGCTTGTTCGCAGGAGGCCGCCTTTCAGACGCCGGGACACGCCTGCGGACGCGGCTTGGTGCCCGCGGAGCGTGGAGTCCACGGCTGAGCCTGCCCTTTTGGGAGGCGTTTCCTGGAAGACAGAACACCTGTGCTCCGCCAGGTGCCCGCTGACGGAACTGGGGAAATCAGGGCGGCTTTGCGCAGGTGGCCGGGTCGGGGGCCTTCCCACCGGCAGTCACAGCGGCGCCCCTTGGCCGGCACAGTGTGTGAGCTGAATCAGTAAAGCAGGGAGGGAGGCCTTGCCAGAGGCTCACCATACCCGTCAGGCTCCGGGAACAGGAAGAGGGTGATTTGGGAGTCACATGTGTGGACTGGGCGCCAGAGACTCCTGCCATTCCTGCTCTGCCACTTGTCAGCCGGGTGACGTCGAGCACCCCCGCACCCCGCCCGCCCTTGGGGGATGCGGCCGACGTGGGGAGCCAGACGGAGCCGTGTCTGCAATGGTGGGGTTTTTATGGGTGTAAGGAAACCGTCCTTGGCAATGAAGGGAAATACGAGTAATAAAACAAGAAAAAAATCATTTCGTAAGAAAACAAATTTTTAAACGTTGTGCGCACGTCGGTGCGTGCAGCCCAGTCTCTGGTTTGGTCAGTAAAACGCTGGCTGAGAGCGAACCTCCCCGACCAGCTGGTGGCCAAAGGGCAGCCGCTCGGTTTACAGAGGCCGCCGGCAGGGGGACCCCGCTTCACAGCTCACAGAAGGCTCTCTCGGGGCTCGGGGGGCGGCCCCACACGGGAGGAATCTGAGCGTGTGAGTGTGAGTGCGCCGTGGGGCCACGCGGCCTTTTCCCGAGTTTCCCTCCCTCCCCTCCTTCTCCCCTGCCCTCCCCGGCTCCTCCCTCCCCTTCTGTTCCCTCCTCTCCCCCGCTCCCTTCCCCCCTCCCTTTCTCCCTCCCCTCCTAATCGCTTTGACCCCATACTACCCCCTCGGGAGGGCCATGCCTGCGCCCTTAGGGGCTCACCTGGGGCCTGAGTTTGGGTTAATGCGGCAGTTTCTTGGATTGGTCATAACCCTGCGATCCCCCGCGGCTCCCCGACACGCCGAAGGGCTGCCTCTCTCTCCCGCTCTTAAGTCGGCAGGGCTCATGACTCAGTTGGGCACAGGAAATGAGAGGCGGCGACGAGACTCACCTCCCACCTCCTGTGCGTGGGTCACCGGGAAGCGTGTGTTCAAGTGGAAACGAGGCCCTGGTGCGGGGCGTGAATCGCGAATGAGAAGAACGTGTTGGCCGACGAGGCTTGGGGGCTGGAGGGCGGCACCGTCTCACAGCCACCAGCTCAGTGCAGCCACATGACGCGGGGCACGGCCTCACCGACCAGAGAACGAGTCTTCCCCGGAAGAGGCCGCCGCACGCAGAGCGCAGGGCCTGCCCCGAGCGCCCCCTCGCGGCTGCGGGCCGGGCCCTGGGGCCGCCGCTGCGCTTACGTCACTTCCGGCATCGCTCCTCCCCCCGCCCGCTCCCCGCTCCCCGCTCCCTTCCCTGCCTTCCTCCCTGAGCAATGCGAGATGACCAAGTGCCTACCACGTCCCGGGCGCTGTGCGAATTTCTAGAAGGGCAAAGACAGACGGCTGTGATTTGGCTTCAGAGGAGCGTCCATCGAGTCTGCCCTCCCTAAACAAATGATGCTCATGTAAAAGGCGAATGTTACACTCGAGGTATTTACAGAATAACGTGTGGGCTTAAAAATACCGCGGAGTGACTGCGCTCTTACACAGCTCAGTTTCGAAGTTCACATCCAGCCAGACAACACCCACACACCCAGGCAAGGAGATCGGCAGCTAGTTTCAAACTTGGCCAAGTCATACCCTGGGGATTGTCGTGAGTAGGCTCAGATTGTTATTTTGAAACAGAGGGGGAAAAAAAAGGTTAAATACGTAGAGTATTTGAGGAATGTGTGAGAAATGTCTCTTCCACTCTCTTCGGCCAAGATGTAGACCTTCCCAACTCACATAATCTTCTTTCTATGGAAACCATCAGTCAGATCTGAAAAAGCCCATACATGGAAATAATCAAATAACAAAGAAGACACAGAAACATTGCCCAGGGACTCGCGCTGGAGCCAGGAGTGAACCATGTGAGCAAATATTTTGCAGAAGACCGCCCCTTTAAAAGTCATCAGCTGTGACTGCAAGGAATTTACTACTTTAATCAAGTCTGATCCGTACAAGGTAGAATTACACTAAATGTGAAGAACAGTTACAGAATGTGCTTTTCTGTTTTTTATTCAGCAAAGCGTACTCTGAGAAGCAAAACATAAAGCCATTCAGAAAGAACACACGTCACGAGGCCGGCCAGATGCCACCGTGCTTCCCTGCCGCTGCCGCAGGTGGACATTTCACGTGGGCACGCTGGGGGCACAGTCAAAGGCTGTCAGTGCTGAGCTGGGATGTGTCTGTAGTTCGAGCAAAGAACTCTGAGTTATAAAACTGTGAATGGCTTATCAAATGCAATTCACTAAATCAGCCTCTGTCCTTGCAAACCAGAGGGATCTCCTCCTTGGACAGTGGAAAATATGCACGGTCTGCGTCTGGCGGTCGGTGACCCGCGCTCAGTCGCCGTCAGTGGTGGGGGTGGCAGCGTGGTTGCTCTCCCCGGCTGCTGGGCTGGCTCCCCGGTGGCTTGGAATGGCCGGAAGCACCCGGTTCGCTCGTAGAGGCTCTCCAGACAGAACTGGGGTGGGAGACAGAAGGAGATGCTTTCAGAGGCAGCCGCCCTCAGAGACTCAGGAGGAACGGTGGGAGGAGAAGTGTGTTCTTTCCTAAGGGGTGAAGGCACGTCTAAGGGGCATGGGGGGCGGAGCTGGGCTGCAGGAGAAGGCTCTGTGTGTGTGTGTGGTATGTTCAGGCTCACACACATGCTCGGCGATGTCAAACACACACAAGCACCGGCCAGGGCCGAGCGCGGCTGCAGCGTGGCGGGTTGTGCGTGCCGGGCAGGGCTCGCCTGCCCAGGCAGAGGCCTGTGGATGCCCCGCCAGCGCCGGCTCCCCGCCAGCCCCCGATGTGCACACTGCGCTTCTATGTTAGTGCACCGGCTCCCGGGTGTCCTTTAGGAAACACACTGCGTACCTTTCCATTTCTTGCTCAGAGAGCGGATCAAAGATCTTTATCGTCCCTTCTCTCCTGAAATGCAGCTGTGAGGAGCCAAGCCCCCGGGCCCTGCCCAAGAAAATCCTCTCCGAGCCCGGCCAGGATTTCAGGCTAATTAAATAAATGGCTGCCTTTGTCTGGCCATTGAGACTCATTTCTGCTTAAAGATAGGACCAGGCTTGAACTGCACTCAGCGATGGCGTTCTCGCCACCCGGGTTGCTCTCCGGAGGGGCAGAGGGCAGAGGGGAGAGGGCAGAGGGCAGAGGCCTGGGCTTCTGCTGCTCTTGGTGAGACCGGGACCCATCCCTCCCCGTCTCCCTTTCCTCATCTGCAAAAACAGAGGGTCCTCCCAAGGCACCCTGGCTCACTGTTGTCATCTAAAGAGTTCTAGAACTTCCGACTGGCCTCTGCCATGCTATAGGCAGGGGCAGGACAGGCATGTTGGACACTTGCTCTGGCAAATAGTTGCCAACTGTTTGACGCTGAGCAGCTCCTACATCCCCTCTCGTCTGTCGTTCAGGGACGAGGAGGGTGCGTGTGGGCCTGGGCACGGGCTGTGCCCCGTGGCTGGGCTGGGCTGGGCTGGGGAGGAAGGAAGAACGTTAGAATCCAGGAAAGCGGCTGACTCGGTGCCCGGAGCTGTGCTCCTGGCTCCGCTGCCGACTCCGAGTCCAGTGGCCTCTCTGATCTCGGTTTCCTCCTCCGCGCAATGGGACGCCGCCCGGAGAGCAGAATTTCCTGGGTCTGGCCCGAAAACTACTGCATAACATGTGCCCCAGGCAATGCTTGGAAACGCTCAAACGTGAAGATCGCTGGCTGAGTGGAACCTATTAACATGTTATATTGTGAGAAACTCTTGTTTAAAATATAACAGAAATCAGTGATGCCAAACGTAACCCAGCGAGACTCATCTGCTGGACTGCGCCTTTCTGCTGAGCGATGTACCGCCTGTGCACGCAAAGGGGATGGGCCCTTCGGCTGCCATCGCAGGCCAGAAACTGGTGTCAGAGGTCAGCCGTGGGGGAGGGTTTTGGAAGCGCCCTCTTACACAGGTTAACTGGTGCAAAGCCAAATAAACTGTTTTTGCAGTCTACACGGAAACCTTCCTCAAGGGAATGAGTAGCCTTTTTTTTTTAAGAAAAACAAGAACAAACAAGCACCACCGAGTTGGATGAAGCTTTAAGGGCTATTTCTATTCTGTTTTCCTGTAATTTACAAGGGCTGGCACGAATGCTCACTTGAAAAGTGAAAGTAAATTGAAATGACGCTTAGTCGTGTCCAGACATGCTGGCACAGGCCCTGGAAGCCGAAGGAGACAGGGAGCACTTACATTTTTGGTCGGGCAGTGGGGCTAGGCTGCTCCGGGCGAAGGCGAGTTCCCTGGTTTTGGGTCCGTTTGGAGACAGAGGCTGAAAATTTTGTCCTGGAGACAAACACATTTGCATCAGTCACTTAGGAGTGAACCAAGTGCAAATCAGGAACTGCCGTGGGCCAGAGAGCCATAAACATTATTAGAGACCACTACCTTTAAGATGAATACCAGCATAGTAGCTACGCTTTATTGAATTTCCACTACACGCCCATTGCTGTTTAAAGGAAAAGGTATCAAAAGGTGCTTCTGGGATGAACTAGTTTAAGTAAAATGTTAAAAAACAAGCACAGCGGGCCACCCATGCTAAAAAACCTAAAAGTCTGAAAACTACAAGAGGGCATAACGTCTCCCAGAGTCACCAGCTCTGTGATGAGTGAGTGGGCGCTGAGCGGGATTCGCTCTTCTGCCGCAGCGCTTCTCAGCCCTGGCAGGACACGGGAGTCGCCCGAGGGTCGGGGAGAGGCCGCTGCCCTGGCCCAGCCCCAGATCCATGCGACGGGCAGCTCCGGGGCGGACAGCCGGGCCTGGGAGTTGCTGCCTAGGAGGCGGAGACGGTGCAAGTCCGGGGACGGCCGCTGTCCGACTCAGACTCTACGCGGCGCGGCGCTCCGGCCGCGGGCAGCAGCTCTCGGGAGCCGAGGGCCAGGTGTTCAGGGGTTTTGAGGGCCGGTGGCCGTCATGCTGGTGCCTGGGCCAGGCCACGGCAGACGTAGTTGCACCTCGGAGCGGCGAGCGCCGCCCCTCTGCCGGGGGGCCAGCTGGTACACTTTCGGCGACACGCTGCGGATCCCCCGAAAACAGAAGGGAGCGCGCCCGTGACGGAGGCCCCTGCAGCGGCTGGTCCTGGGGGCACAGGCAGCGGCGCGGGCTCGGGTCCGACGGGGTCGGGCTCGGTCCCCAGCTCAGGAGAGCGAGGTGTCCGTGTGAACCCTCAACTTGCTCGTGTGTAAAGCTCTGAAAATCGTCGTGGATCTGCCTTCTCCAGTTGTCACAGAGAAGAAGTGGGGGAACAAACGCACGCGTTTAGCGGGCAGCGTTACCACTCAACAAACGTGAGCAGTGGCCGCGGTTTTGTTCCGCGGAGCCTGGACGCCTCCTCCGGGGCCGCGGGGCCTGCGCTGACTCGACCTCTGGCCTGCAAGCCGACGGGACCCAGAGCTGGCGTGGCCCCGCCGGCCGGGTCCGCGCCCTCCGTCTGGGCGAAGGTGCCCGCGGATGCGGAGGGCGCGGGAAGGGCACCAGCCAGCGCGCACGGCCGCCCTCGCCGGCGAACCCAGCCGGCCCTGGCGCGGTGCCGGTTCACGAAGACGCGCGACATGCCTGTCTCCCGGCGGATGTCCTCCCATTGCACGTCTGTCCCTCTGGACGCGGACGGTCAAATGACTTCCTTATTTAAAGAACAAACCCACCAACCAACCAACCAGCCCTCCTGAGCGGAATGACAGTACACCCCGAACCCGCCCACGCGGGGTCTGTCCAGCAGCACCTGAGCAGGCGTTTGCAAAGCCAGTTTCTGAGAGGACGACTGTCGCCGGCCGGCGACGTTTCCCGAGCGCTCGCTCTGGTTAGACGCTGGGCCGCGCGCGCTTGTGTGAGCGCCCTCCCTGGGGAGACAGCGCTGTTGCCACCCCAGGCGCTGGCCGGGCCCCAGCTCCGGTCGGCCTGACTCGACACCCCGGCCAGGCCTCCTCCCAGGAGCCAGAGCAGAGCTGGCAGGCGGGGGCGGGGGCGGGGCGCTGCGGCCGCGGTGTGGGGTGCGGGCTCCGCTTTGAGGGAGGGTGGGGCCGGCCGCAGCCCGGGCCCCCTGACGAGCACTGCGGCCCTCGGGGTGTCCGCTGTGGGTCGGCCGACGGCCGCTGTCCTGACCGCGGAGGCAGAGGGGCTTTCACACGCAGCGGGGGAGCCCGGGGTGAGTGGGGAGCGACAGTCGTTACAGCAGATGCGTCCGGCCCCGGCGGGTGCGGCTCTGTGGACAGAGCGCCGGCCTGCGGGCCAAAGGGTCTCCGGTTCGATTCCTGGCCGGGGGCCCTCCCGTGGGGGGCGCGCGAGAGGCAGCCACACAGGGACGTTTCTCTCCCTCTCTCCCCCCATCCCCCTCTGTCTAAACGTAAGCACGCAAGACCTTTGAAAGCGCATGCGCACCGCCTGCTCGCACCTGGTGCGTGGCCGCTGTGCCCCGCCCCGAGCTCGGGGAGGCCGGGCCGCAGGAGCTCCCCGCGGGAGGGGCAGGCGGGCTCTCGGAGGCCCTTGAGTGCCGCTCGGCAGCCGAGAGAGGGCCCCGAGGGGTCAGGGCATCTTGAGCCCCATAGGCCTCGCTCCCTGGCCAGCGCCGGGGCCGCGGGCAGGCGTGCTGGTCGCTCTGGCCTCCATTTCTCTCCCTCTGGGAGGGCGACGGGCACCCCTCTGCCACGCTGCTGCTGGGGGAGGGCAGCTCACGGCCCCAGAGGGCTCAGCGAGGTGGGGCTGAGCAGTTACGCTCAGGGAGCGAGAGCCCTGGCCCCATCCCACAGAGGTCAGAGGTCAGAGGTCAGGGCGGCTTTTATGCCGACGGTGGGGGCGGGGCGGGGGGGGGTTCCTGAAAGGCTGCAGGACTCTGCTCAGCACAGGGCCGGGGCCGAAGGTGCTGGGTCGGCCGCAAAGTCCATTGCATTTTCTCTGGAGGAGGCTCTTGCAGTGCGTTGTTGTCTTTAACCTCGTTTGAAGCAATTTTGTTTGATTGTATTGTGACAGTTGTCATATCAACGTGCATTAAAAACAACTTACCAAAATTGGCGAATTTTCATGCTGACATTTTAATATTGAAGATGAAAGAAAATACACAACATTTCTGGCATGTTATGCTTTGTTATTTCAAGAAAGGTAAACACACAACCGAAACACAGAAAAAGATTTGTGCTGTGTATGGAGAAGGTGCTGCATCCCATTGAACGTGTCTAAAGCGATTTGCAAAGTTTCTTGGCACGAGTGGCATCCTGGCCAAACAATTCCTTGCCGGGGGGGGCTGCCTTATCACTGGAGGGTGCGGAGCAGCAGCCCCGGCCTCTCCCCGCGGGAAGGCAAGAGCGGGAGAGACCGACACGCTCAAAACATCCAGATCAATGAAGTTGCTGGTGAAAATCAAAACGTGTCTTTTATGTTATGGAAAGAAAACCACATGGACTTCTTGTCCAACCCCCCAAAAAGGGACATGAACAAGGTCGTCCTAGGGCACAAAGGCACGAGGGATCCCGAAGGAGCCGTTCAGGGGGTGGAGGTGCGAGACGGAGGGAGCTGGGCGGGTGCGTCGGGGGACCGCCTGCCTCAGGCCAGGCGGCGGGACGCCCTGGCCGGGCGGGGACGGAAGGGTCACAGGGCCAGAGCCACCCCGGAGGGGAGCGTATGGTGCTGGGATGGTCTAGAACATTCTGGAGAAGGAAGTCTCTCGTGAGCGAGGAGGGAGCCCGGCGCGACCGTCCTTTCCCTGGGAAGACCCGTGAGCGACTGGGCTGGGAGCAAGGCCTCCCCTCCCGTCCGAACTTTCTGTTCCATGTTCTCTGGAAGCCGCTCCAAGGAATGGGGCTGATGTGCCTGGACGGCCGCAGGGGCGAGGCCTCCCCTGCGTCTCTGCCTCCCCCCCGCCAGGCGCACCGACAGGTCGCAGCACGCGCCGGGCACTAAGCCTCAGAGCCGACGTCCAGGGCGCTGAGGCAAGCGTGGGGCGTGGAGCCGGGAACTGCAAGGCCGCACCCCCCGGCCCACACCATCTCCACTGAAACCGGGGCCAGGCGGGAGATGCCCAACGTGACGTCCGCGCTCGGCAGCCGGCGGCTCTGCCGCCTTGGCTTTCACGTCGGGCGCACGGGCTCAGGCTCGCAGACACTACTACTAACAAAAGCGCCCATTGTGGTCCAGACGCCTCGGCAGGTCTAAAAACATTTCGAATTGGGTTAAAAATGTCCGCAAAAATAAAACCCACTGGCAGCGGACCTTTTTATTGCGAGGAGCACAGCGCGATCCCTAAGAAACTGCGCGGTGCGGCAGGTAGGCCCTCGGGGGGGAACGCCGACACACCGCACTGTGGAGTCTGAGAGACACGCGTCACCACGGCGGTGCCTCCTCGTCCCCAGACCGGGGCTCAGGCTCTGAGTACGTCACCAGTGGGCTGTAGGGCTTCGAGCCCATTGTCTTTGCTTCTCTGGGCCCCAGAACTACAAGTAGGGAGGGTCCTCCCTAGAGGTGTGGCCTGACTTGCTTCATTATTGATCAGCCTTCACCCAGGAAAACAGGGGCCTCTCCAGGTCTTTGAAACAGGGAATTTCAAACAAAAAGCTGGTTATATTGGTCAAGGGAAAGCCAAGAGGCCAAACACAGCACCGTGTGGAAGGGCAACCCAGGCAGGAGCTGACCCCGCTGGGCTGGAGGGCGAGGCGAAGAGATGGTCTTACCACGGCCAGAGGCTCCTGGGAGCCGGACCCACGGGTGGGGGCAGTGGGGAGGGAGCTGGGAGGCGAAGGAGCCACTGCGGGGGGCGGGGCGCAGGGAGAGGTCCATAGCAAGCGCCTCCCTTCCCCTGGCGTCTCCTGGCACTTGGCCCAAAGCCCCCGGAAGCTGCTGGCGAGGGAGGCTGCGAAGTGGAGCTCCCCGAGGCGCCAGAGCGAGTGCTCGTTTCACCGCCCTGAGTGCGGGGCGTGTGCCGGGCCTGCGAGGCACAGGGCCAGGCGTGGCAGAAAATCAGAGCGGGGTCCGGCTGGTGCGGCTCAGAGGCGGGGCGCCGGCCTGCGGCCAATAAAAACGAATGTAGAAAAGACACCCCAAGGCTGTCCTGGGAAACAGGAAAGACTAGACTCCCAAATACTTCCAAAGATTCTCAAAACACAAAGCAGTAGCTCGAACAGGGCGACCCCCAGAAGGCAGGCGGGTCGAACCTGGAGACCACACGGGGTCCAAGGGGCGAGCGGCCCTGCTCCTCCCCTCCTGTCCTTCCGCGGTGAAAGCAGAGGCACAGGCCGGGCGACCCACCAAGTGGCCTCTCAGACGCCAGGGAAACTGCCGCCCTGGGCTTCTGTAGGTGCCAGCGCGTGTGAGGAGGCCGCCCCGAAGCCACAGGCCTCGCGCACCAGGTTCGCGCGGGCGGGCGGCGGCAGCCAGACTCCCGCCGCATCTGGCCACTCACCACACCCCCTGGCCCTCCACGCTCTCCTTGGAACACACATGGGGCGGAAGAGAGGTGTCGTGCCCCTGTCCCTGCCCCCGCGCCCCGTCCCTGCTGTAAGGGCGATGACAGGGAGCGCGGCCCCGGAGCAGCGGCCCCATCTCAGGCGCATCTCGGTCGCCTGCTTTTAAGAAGGAAAAACAAATGCTAGTGTGGTGCATTTATTTAAAACGGGGGTGTATGCCTATTTAATGCATGTAAATCTAGGGGTGTGTAGAAAATATCTCTGAAAAAATACCCCCAAATTACCACCCTTGGCAGCTGCGGACGAGGGGCACGGGAGGGAGGCAGGGGGACAGAGGCAGGAGAGGGTGTGGCCCCGTCCTCGGCGCGCGGCGCCCCGAACCACGAGCGCGCGCGTGCGGCCCCTTCTCCGTGGTGCCCCCCACCGCCCCGCGCCAAGGCCGCGGCTCAACGGGTCTGGAAGGGGCGGGCCCTGGGGCTGGCGAACGGCCGCGGGGACGGACGGGCAGCGGGGGCAGCCCCCCCCATGCCGCGCCCAGGGCCGGGCCGGGGCGCGGACACCCCCTGCTCCGCAGCGGCTGCCGCCCAACTGCTGGGGAGGCCGGGCGGCCCCCGCTCTCACATAAGGCGCCTGAATCCGGGGGGGGGGGGCGCTGCTCTGGCCGGGCGGCCCCATGGCTGGAGGGTCGCCCGGTTGATGCTTGCTAAGGTTACCAAAAGGTCGCAGGTTCGATCCCCGGTCGGGGTGCAACCGATGGACGGTTGTCACCTCACGTCTCTCTCCCCCTCTTGCTCCCTCCCTTCCTCTCTCTGAAGCCAATAAACATGTCCTCAGGGGAGGACTAGAAACAAAGAAAGGGAGAAAAAGAAAAATCTGTGACCGGTCCCGTTCTGTCCCAGCGCAGGCCTCCCAGCGGCTGCCGCCCCAGCCCCTCCCCAGGCAGGACCCCTGTGTCTGCAAAGGCTGTCGGGGCGAGGAGGGAGGGAGCCCGCACTGTACCTGCGGAGGGGCTGAGCAGGTGCGGGAGGCGCGGAGGCCCCGGGGCGTCCGGCTGCCTGGGCCTGCCCCACAGCAGCCTGTCGGCGGGGGACGCCGGCCACGCCCGGCAGAGCCCCAGGCGGGGGCCGCTGCGCCAGGGGTTGCCCAGCAGCGCCTGGCCGCCTGGCTGGCCACTCAGCAAGTCCTGCTCGCTCCGGCTTTTCTGCGACGGTGGGCCCGCGTGCTGGGGGCCGGCGCCGGGGCCGGCGGGGGGCGTGGCCCCAGGGCCAGCCGTGGGGAAGCGGTTGCCCGCGGTGATGGGCGGGAGGCTCTGCGTCCGGATCGGTGGGAGCCCCTGCCGGGCCAGAGGCCTCTTCTCTGGCCAGAGGTACTTTGACTCCTCAGGGGTCCTCTTTTTGAAGCCGACCATGGGCGCCTGGTCCCCAGGCTGTTGCTGGCAGTTGGTGCCCAGGACGCTGTCGAAGGTGGCGATGATGTCATCGACTTCCGAGGGGGGCCCCCCCTTGCGGGTGTCCCTGCTGCCGTCCTCCGCAGCGGCCCGCTGCTCCTCTTTCCTGCTTTTGCCGAAGATCTGGTTGAGTACGCCGAGGCCTCCCTCCCTCTTCAGGGGCCTGCCGCTCTGGGGCGCCGGCGGGTGAGCGGGCTCCGTCCTGTGAAACACCGAGGCAGAGGCGAGGTCAGAAAGCGCAGGCAGCCCCTCCGGCCCCGACCTCGGTCCGGCCCGGGCGCTCGGCCGGGAGGCTGTGGGCGCCGAGGCCCTGACGGCCCCTCAGGTCGCAGGCCGCATGCCAGGGTTCACGGTCCCTTCCAGGCCAGCCGTTTGCAACCCACACGCCCCAGAGAGGTTTAAACCCGCGCTACCTGACTGTCGGGGGCCCTGACCTTAGACTGTGAGATAGAAAGATGAGCACGGCCGGCGCAGCGGCAGCCGTCGGCGCGGATGAACCAGGGTCGCACCGATTTGTTCTGTCAGATCAGCAACACAGACCACCGTTTCGCTGTGCCGTGGGATTCCAGGGATGGGTTTGTGTGTGCTGTGAGGTGACAGGGGTTGGACGTCGCGGGTCTCGATGGGAGAGCTTCCGGGACACGGCCCATCCCTCCGCGTGAGAGCGGGTCCTGGGGACAGCCCCCAGCTTGCCCTGGGGCTGCCCTGTCAGATTTGTCCTGAGGGGTTGTTTTCGCCGCTGAGCGCAGCCTGTGGCGCCAGGCCAGGCAGGCGGAGGTGGGGCCCGAGCCCTCAGCCTGAGGTGACAGCGGGCCAGGGCGGCTGCGTGGAGTCAGGAGCCACGGCCGGGGCGGGGGGGGGGGGGGCGGTGCACGGGGGTGGCCCTGGCCTCGGCCCCTCTGCCTGGCCACGGGGACCCCGGGAGACCCAGGCTCAGCTCTGCCCGTCTCCACCGCAGGAAGCCTGTAATCTTGGGCAGGCTGTGCACTTTTTGAGTCCCTTTTGGTGTTTACCAAGTTTCCCACTGAAAAGTACTTCATAGCAAAGGCTAAAGGAGACCAAGGGGAGAAGCTGGCATCGGGGCTGCAGCCGCAGAAGAGGGAGCCCGAAGGCCGGGGGCGGGCAGGGTGGGGAGTGAGCAGCAGGGGCGGCGGCGAATCCCAGGGGGGAAAGTCAGCTCGGCCGCGGAGGGGTTCCCGGAGGCTCCGCTCCGCCTTTGCCCCTCGGAGACCCCTGCGCTTCTCTCTCCACGCAGAGCCAGGCAAGGGAGGCACGGGGTCTGCGATCCATGCGCGCGGCGCGTGGCTTTGCCACGGGACACACAGCGCGTACTCGCGCTCTGTTCCGGGAATGTCGTTCTGCCGCCTGCCCGGCCCCTGCCGAGCGGCTGTGGAATGCAGAGGGAGCAGAGAGCGCCCCAGGGGGTTTCTAGCCCTGTTTCAAGCTCCCTCCTGCAGACCGCAGCCCGGGGTCCCTGTGCCGACGGACTGACCCTGCTTCGTCTGCCGTGACCATCGTCTCCTTCCCGTTAGGGGACGCAGGCCAGCGGGCCTCCCCGTGTGGGCCGCGCGCTGCAGGGACAGATCCAGACGGCCTCTAGGGGTTTCGTGGGGTTGGAACAACATTCCCTATCACACCAGGAGGGGGCTGCCCTTGCCCCAAGGGTGCAGTGGGGACAGACAGGGTGAAACTGAGGGTGGCTCGGCACAGGTCGGGACAGCCGCCTCCAGGGACTCGCGTCACAAAAACTGCCACTTAACTGAATAGTGTCCAGTCATGCTTTTTGCCTTTTTGAAATATGGGTCCCTGACCACATGTTTTGACAAAACGAGTGCTCGTGAGCGGTCCCGCTACGCCGAAGAGGGCGGCTGTTCTGCGGTGAAGCGCCAGCCCGCTGCACTCGGCGCGGCGTTTGCGGGACACCATGTTTACACCTTACAGACGAGCAGCGGCTGTTCTGAGCGGTCGCCGGCAGAAACCTTCTCGAAAAAGAGCAGAGCAAGCCTGTCATTTCATGGGAAACAATTGGCGGTAATTGTTGCCAATGACCAAAGTCTAACTTTCAAGCAAAGATTAGAATTTTGGAAAACGTGGGCGGGTGCTGTCAGCCCGGCGTCTTCCTGGCCCGTCAAGGGTTTCCAAGAAGATCGGTGGTGACATTAACGGATGTGCTGTTTTAATGCTGGGCAATGGAATGTGTCATTGAGATCCTCCTAATGAAGTGACCCAAACGTTTTTCAAACGACCAAAGCATTATGCTATAAAATCATGCGTGTAGACAAATGGATTTGAACATAACAGCGTAAACAGCGTGCATTTGTAAGGTGACAGAGTCCGCCCTGCAAACAACTGCTGGCCAAGTTTTGTGTCATATCCAAGTGCCCACAGTTGTCTGAAGAGGCTCCCGAAACATTTCCTTGTCCAGCTGTGTGTTCACATGAGACCAGGCTGTTCTTGTCGCCTCGGTCGCAGCGAGGGCTGTGCCAGACTGGCCGTGGGGGCCGCGGGAGCCCCGCTGAACCCCGCCAAACCTCTGTGCCGATCTTAGAGATTTGCGAAGCCATGTCGAACAGCAATGCTCTTTTCATGACAGTATTTCTGTGTTTTGAACAACAGGTCATTTCAACTAACAGTATGGTATTTATGTTAACATGTAAACATAAAGGGTTAATCGTTGCTTTAAATGAACAGCGAAGTAAATATGATACTATAAACTTTCCTCACGTCCAATGTTTAATGTTTATGTGTTACGTCCCATGATCACAAGCTCTTTGGGGGTCTTCCATGATTGTTGAGAGGGCAAAGGGTCCTACGAAGAAGAAGCCTGAGGGCTGCTGATTCAGGCAAAGCGGAGGGCGGGCGTAAAGGGAAGGGGGGAGGGGAGGGGAGGGGAGGGGAGACTGAGAAGCCCCGTGGGCATCAGGCCTACAGGGGGGCGGCTGTCATTTTGCCCCACGGTGCTGCGGGCACGGCGCCGCGTGCAGGTGGTGGCACACACGGCCGCCGGGTGGCTGCTGCTGGCCTTGCACGCGGGTGTGGGGCAGGCTCCCCCGAGGGGCGCAGGGGCCCGCGGCCGGCGCACTCACCTGCGCGGTGGGGAGAGGAGCCGGGCGCAGGCCAGGTGGCCGCCGCGGAGGGCGTAGGCCAGCGCCACGCTGTCGTGCACATCCCGCAGGGTGCTGTCCACGCCCAGGTCCAGCAGGGACCGCACGCACTCCGCCTTCCCCGCCGCCGCCGCCCAGTGCAGGGGTGTCCTGGGGACCAGGCGGGAGGGAACACAAGTGTGAGCACGGGGCGGGGCAGGCTCCTGCCGACCGCCGGACGCGGCAGGGGAGACCAGCTGCAGCCGAGCGTGGGAACAGCGGGTGTTACAGGGGCCGCAGGGCGCGGGCGCGGGCGCGGGGCCTCTCCGCGAGGCCAGGGCTCCCGGCCTTCCGCCTTCTCTGGCCTTTCCTAGGAGAGGGAGGCGTGGGTCAAAGGGCAGGACCGATTTTAAGGCTCCTCACACTTCGTGCCGAACTGCCTTCCAAGCCGACTGACCCACTCACCTGCTGCTGACCGGCCCGGCTGCTCCGCGCTGAGCTTTGGCGCGGCCTGAGCACCTTGCCCGGCTGGAGGGCCGGGCGGCGCTTCACTGTGGTTTCCTTGGGCATTTGTTTCCTCAGCCGTGAGGCTGAGCTTTTGGACTGTGTTTAGCTGCCATTCGCTTTCCTCATTGCAATGACCCAGTGCCCTTGCCTGTTCTTCTATTAGTGCGTTGGTTCTTCTTATCAATTTACGTGGCTTTAGTGCATGTGAGACGTACGGATCTTTTATAAGATATCCTTATGCAAACACGCATCCAGTTTGTTACTTGACTTTTAAGCTTTTAGTGATCTTCTATAAATTTTTAAAAATTATTGCTTCCTTTTTGTTTCATGATTTAATGTCTAGGAAGTCTTTCATCAGCCAGAACCTAAATAAATATTCGTCAATATTTAAAGCTTTATTAAAATGTAAAACAGGTATTTTTTTTAATGAGATGAAAAGAAAAAGCTAGAGACTTGGAGAAAATATTTGCAAATTGCACATCCAATAAAGGGCTTATATTCAGAATGTATAAAAATCTTTCAAAACTGAATAAGGAAACACAGAAGCCCATTTTAAAAGCTAGCAGAAGGTCAAAACAGAAACTTCACCCGAGAAGACGTAGGAATGGTAAACGGGCTCGCGAGAAGGTGCTCGGCAGCGCTGGTCCCTGGCGGGACGCAAATGAAAACCACAGTGAAACACCACCACGCAGCCACTGGCAACGGCCAACATTCAAACAGAGAACCAGGCGAGCCCTGGCCACACCAGGCGCGGGGAAGGCGTGGAGACGCGGGGACGCCGGCACGCTGGCGGCGGCAGGCAGAATGGCGGCAGCTGCCTGGAACACGGCCTGCCAAGCGCGTACTCACCGTAGGAACAGCCGTCTCACCTATAGACCCTGCGGAGCCCGAGAAATGACAAGTTCCACACACACGGACACCGGGACTGCGTGCTCGGGGCAGCGCTATCCATCGTCACCCCAAACCGGAAGCACCCGGAGCCCTTCCACTGGTCGCTGCGGCAGCGAACAGCAGGTCCTCGCCCAGCGGAGTGAGCCCAGACCCGCAGAGCGGCCCGAGCCGTGCAGGGCAACGCGGGTGGGCCTCCGGGGCCGCCTGCTCGGGGAGAGAAGGCCAACGATGCCGCACCGCGGGTCCCGCATACGCGGCCTCCTGGGAAGGGCGGGGCTCGGAGCTGGCCAGCAGCCGGGCTGAGCGGCGGGGGGGCGGGGGGTGGTCTATGGAAAGACCGGACAGGCTGACGCTGGAATGACGGGCTCGCTCTGAGCCGTGTTTGTGGAGCTCAGGGACCTGGGCTCCCCCTGAAGCCCACGTGACTGCACAACAAGAGGGAGAATTTGAATGTGAATTTCAAAGAAAATAAATATTTATTTCCATATTTATTTGGATTAAAAAAAAACCCCCAAAACTGGGTGTGTGCTCGTGTGGGGGGTGAGGTGTGCAGCCGCCCGCTTCCTGGTACAGAGCCGGGTCCTCGGCGCCGTGTGTGGCGCGCACCCCACCTTTCCCCCTTCCCCCATTCACGCCGGCGGGTGGCCTCGTGTTCAACCTCGGGGACGGCTGTGGTGGGACAGACACGAGAAAGAGTGTCTCTCTGTTTCCAGAGCCAAGCCCAGGACTGACAGCAGGTCTGGCGTGGAAGAGTCCCCCGCCCCGTCAGATGGGGTAGGGGGCGCACGTGGGGGCTCTGCCCCCGGGAGCAGAGCCGGCCACAGCCGAGCTTCTCGCCTGAGCTGCTGGGAAGTGGGGGCAGGCGGACCCGTGTGGCTTTCTAGGTAGTAGGGCCACAGGAGGACAAGGGGCACAGGGAGAAGGACCTTCCTGTAAGTGGGGTTCCCCACGAAGAGAATGGCTGGGCTTCCCGTCAGTCGCTGGAAAGGGCCCGTCCTGGGAAAGGATGGGGGGCCTCCTGGCCCGCCCAAGGCACACAGAGCTCGCTCGGCCCGGCTCCTCCCTCGCCTCTGCCCCCAGGTCCCGGGCAGCGGCAGCCGGCCGCCTCCTGCCCCAGGGCCAGCCTCAGCCGCCGTAGGGAGGGGCGGGCTCAGGGCTCCTGGCGCAGGGCAGACCCCCGAGCGGGGCAGCGGGTGCAGGCGGCAGTGTGGCTGGGGGCCCGCAGCCCTGGAGCGACTCCAGGGATGCGCCTGCGCTGCCTGGGGAGCCCAGCGACGCCCGGGGCAGGGGGCGGGGGGCTGAGGCAAGGCTCTCCGTCCTGGCTGCCGGAGCCGGGGACCGTGACGCCGCCCGCTCTTTCTGGGTCCGTGGCCTGTGCTATCCGTCGCGGGCCAGCGCCCCTGTGTTTCGAACCGCGTGGATGTGCGATGCATCTTAGTATCCGGGAGGAGTTGCTCCCTTTACTTTTCTTCATCCTCTTTTTTTTTTTTTTTTTTTAATCAATGCCTTATTTTCTCACCCTTCCCACACAGACTTTCTCTCTACCAGGAAGGGGAAGAAGAAAAGGGAAGTCACAATGGCTGCCTAGGCACAAAGTGCCAGAACCTAACAATATTTTGAAAAATTCTGTTACTATAATCACACGCTGGACAGTTTCAGTGCGAAGCTGTAGCTGCCCAACGTGGAAAATGGGGAACAGAACCGGGCGGCATGCGCCCCGTGGCCCGGGTGCCGCGCTTGTGCAGGAACCGGCCTGGGGGATTTCAGGTCGCCTTGAACTCTCATGGCCCTGCCTCGTGTGCCCCCACCCGGTTTTGCTTCCTCCTCGAGGGCCCGGCCAGGGAACTAGATTCTCTCTGCACGCATGGCTGCACAGTGGGCCGGGTCTGCCCGGCGCGGTGTGAGCCGTGTTCTGAGGACCCCCGGCCTCTGGTCGCCTCCTCGAAGGCGCCCCCATCCTCCCGGTGGGGCGTCCACTTCCCTCCCCGGGGGCTGGAGCGCTGGCAGCCTCTCGCGGGTTCGGGCGGCTCCTGCCCGTAGGGAAGGCCTGCCTCGGGCGCCCACTCTCCTCCGAGCCGAGGCCAGCGGCCCGCCTGCGGCTCCAGGGCTTCCCCGGGTCGCAGGGGCCTCGGGCGCCGGGCGTGTCTTGGGGTCTCTAAAATCAGGGCGAGCACGTGGCTAATTCCGCACTTCAGTAACAGGGGGTGAAGAACACCATACCTAACACAGAAGCCTTAACTCATTTCCCACAGTCCTCTTCTTTGTTACGCTACCCCACTTCCACGGAGCCAGTGCGCGGCCTGGACGAGGGCTGGGCCGGCACCGCAGCTGGGGAGCGCCCGCCGTCGAGGGCGGGGCAGGCGCGGTGGCGGAGGCCCCTGCGTTGGCTGGGGAGACGGGGCGCGGGTCTTGCCTTAGTTGCTAACCACCCCTGAGCTAATCTCTTCCCTTTCTGGACCCCGCTCTCTTTCCCATGCCAAGGCCTCTTTAATGATTGGAAAAAAACGAACCCAGAGCCCTACCAGGGTCGCGCCTTGTTCTGAGTACAGAGCCTCTATTACGCTCCTGCCTGGAGAACAAAACTTGTTGACTCTATGACATAATTCAGGGATGAAGGAAAATAAAGCCCTCGGTCAAGAGCGGCAAGTGCACGGAGCGGGAAGCTGACCCCACCCTGAACGCCGTCCGAGGACGCGGCCCTGCCCTGAGGGGACGGGCGGCCTCTGTCCACACGAGCATGCGTGTCGACGCCACGGGGATGGCGCTGGACGCCCGCAGGGTCACCCCTGCAGCGGCTCTCTCTGCTGAGAGCGGCGTCCGCTCTCAGGAGACGCGGGCGGCTGCCGCCCCCCCCCTGCACCCCCCGGGTACCTGTCGTCCACGTCCAGGGCCTGCAGGTTGCACTCGGGGACCCTGGCCAGCTCGGCGAGGACGTCGCTGAAGCCCGCCGCGGCGGCCAGGTGCACGCACGTCTTGCCACTCCCGTCGTCGCAGTTGATGATGGACGGGCCCCGCTGGTGGCTCAGGATGAGGGAGCACAGCGCGCGGTTCCCGCTCTGGAAGACAGGGGCGCAGGGGCGCGTTGGGTGCCATCGGCCCCCCCCGCACCCGCACCCGCGCCCGCCACCCCCTCCGTCCGTGCAGGTAAAGATAGAGAGAGATACAGAGTAAAACATCCCGGACAGGAGCAGAGAAAATGCACCCGATCGGATCCGCCAACAAGCTGCACTGCGTGCAGTGGCTGCAGAGATTTGCCTCCCCTCAGAGCCAAGTCGTCTTCCACAGCTGGGGGTCCGAGGAGGCGCGGCGCCGCGCTGCGCAACACGGGTGCAGCAGACGGACCCCGGGGCTGGTGCAGGGTGGGCTGCCGGTCTGAGCGCTCGCTCCGTGGGCCGTCCGTCCTGGTTCCCCACTTGGCCCTCGAGGCGGACGGCGAGACGGGCCGAGCGCTTTTCCACGTTGACACCCGGACCAGCGCGCGCACTGCATAGTGACGTCACGCTGACCACGACAGCCCCGCGGCGATTACATCGCTGTTGAGCTACGTGAACATCGATCCCTGAAAGTCCTTTGTGGAAGGAAGTGGGTCCTGAAGTCCGGTGGCTAATCCGTTAGGAGACGAGACGCACTGGGACCAGGAGGAGAGGGGCCCGGCAGCCCGCGAGCTGGGCCGCGCTCGGTGTGGGTCTGCGCTCAGCCCCTGGTCTCACATCCCGGGGGCCGTTCCACACTGACTCGGCCACGGCCCCCAGCCCTTCCCGAGAGCGCGCGCCCCTCTGCAGCCTGCGGAAGTGACATCTGTGCCTTTTCCGGAGTTCGGCACCGTTCACGGGACTGAAACATCAAAACACTCTGCGCAAGCGCCTGCAATTTAAGAGGATAATGGATCGTCCTAGGGCAGTAACCGAAAACCTAGGTTTCTACTGCTTAGGGGCACGTCTTAGTGTCCCGATTTCTCCTGGCACCTGTGGGAAGACTGTAAGGCGGTCCACACTGTTCAGCAGCGCTTTGCTCTCCTCAGCGGGTCCTCGGCGAGGCCCAGCGATGGCGCACGCCAGGTCTTGGCAGGTCCCTGGGAGGCAGGCGGCGCAGCTCTGGGGGCAGCGGGGGCCTGTGGTCCTGGGAGCCAGGAGGACCCGGCTCAGGGCACGGAGAGGAGCTGGGGTTTTAAAAAGCTCCAATTCTGACAACACGGCGGATGCGGTTCGGGGGCTACCTCTTCCTCTGTCTTCCCCAAGTCTCCCGCCCCCGTCCTTCCCGCTGTCCCGCGGCGCGCCTGGCCAGGGCTGTGCTCTCGGTCCCCGGTCCTTCGCTCCGTTCCACGGGGCAGCAGCCCGCACCCTCCGGCTCCCCCTCCTTCCCCTCCCTTTGCGCCCGTGGCTCTCCCGATGGCCCCTCACTCAGCAGCCCCGGCTCCGCCGCAGGCATCGCACCCCGAGGCCCGGGGGTGCCTCCCTGTCCCGGGGACGGCTGCTGACGCCCCACCGGGCACCTCTGCTGGGCCAAGGGCGGGGCGCGTGGAGCCCTCGGAGTTGAGCCCTGAGTGGGCCCAGAACACTGCAGCCAGGGCCGGCTGCGGAGCTCGTGGGGCCTGGGGCACAGGGCCACGCGGAGCCCCTGCTCGCGTGGTGGGGAGCTCGCTCCCCCTCCCACGGCCTCTCGCCCCCCCTGCCAGGCGGTCTTCACCTGCTGTTCAGCGCTGCGCTCCCTGGGGCTGGGGGGTCTCACCGAGGCACACCCCTCGGGGGGTGCCTGCCCCGCCCTGCGGCTCCGCAGCGGTTGGCCCTGACCCCGTCCCTGCCGGGGACGGGGCTGCGTGTGCCAGGGTGTCACTGTCCAATCAGACTTTGCTTGACAACACGGATGCGAAGACGTCACTCTTCAGATTTGCCGGCGGCGACCGCAGCGCACGGCAGCCCAGGCGCAGGCTGCCCCGTGAGCGCAGGACCCTCTGTGGCCACGCTGCCTGTCCTGTGCGCATTGGGCGGTCCCTTCCCGCCCTCGCGGCTCCCTTTCGGCCCCTCTTCCACCCTCCCTCCTCCTTCCCCCGTCGGACAATGGCTCTGGGATAGTTTGGATCGAGATGTGCGGCTACGCTGAACACAGCTAAGCTTTTGTGCCAGCTTCACCGTCTTCAAGACTCCCTGGCCTGATGTTACTTTAAACATGTTCTCCTGGGGCTTGAAATGTATCTAGAACAATCAAGAGGCCCCTCCCAGCCCCCTTTAAAAACCACAAGCTATTAGAAAAGGAAAACAGAAGGGTATGAGTTCAATGAATTAATTTTGTTTCCAGTTTTGTGAAGGTGCAAAGGAACGCAGGTTGCCAAGGCGACCCAAAGGGCAATGGCCCGGGAGTGTCCCCTGGGCGTGGACGCCCGGGCACCCAGCCAGGACGGAGAGAAGGGACCAGCTCCCGGTGCGCGGACTCCTCCCTCCTCCCCGACCCCCGGGGAGCGGTTCCCAGTGGCGCCCTGCCCTCGCGGCTGCTGCCCCAGGCCCTCGGAGCCAGAGGACCCCAGCCTCTCGGGCAAGTGCAGACACGCCGCCCCGGGCCCTTTCCTCCCAAGGCCTTTGGCCTGAGCTCTCCAGGCCTCGCCTTGGCCTCTCCAGCTCCACTCAGTCCTGGCCCACACGCGGAACCGGAGAGCGCGGCGGGCGCCTCACCCAGCACAGGGAAAGCCGGCAACGCGGGCGCCCGCACGTTCAGTCCTTCAGGGACTGACCCGGGACCTGCCCTGTTCCTCTTTTCACCCCCAAGGCCGGTCGCACAGCAGGGGCTCCAGAAGTCTTTGCTACGTGGCTGAGTCAATAAAGGAGGTGTGATGCCAACAGGAGCCAGCGGCCGCACACGATGCCTTGGGCGGGGCCCGCGAAGGCTGTGGCGCCTGTGGACGGGGCTCATTTATCGCCTTCGACCCCGCTCCACGCGACGCCTGCGGGGCGGCAGGGGGAGGTTTCGGAAAGCATGGGCGCCTCACCCCAAGGAGGGACCGGGACTCCAGGGGGCGGCCTGGGCCTGGCCCTGTCTGAGCTCTGCGAGGCCCCAAGGGCGGGCGGGGGAGGGGGCGGCGGGCTCGCAGCCTTGGGGGTGGCCGGGGGAGGGCTGTGCCGGGGCGGCCGGGGGGCCCAACCGCCACAGAGGAGCCCAGGAGCCAGGACAGAAATGGCCCCTCCTCTGGCCACGCAGGTCGTCACGGCCGCTGCCACGGGCACGCAGTCAGCCACACCGCAGACACACGGGCGGTGGAGCGAGCAGGCGGCGCTGACTCTGCTCGGGTCAAGCCGCGGGCGGTGTCTGCGGGGCGAGTGCCCGCGCGTGTGAGTGCACGTGTGACGGCCCAGGCTGTCTGAGTTAAGGACACCAGCTTTCGGTTTTGCCAAACTGCCTCCTTGAGGAAGAGAACCGGGGTTCCTGCCCCCAAGGGCCCAGCTCCCGGGCGGTGGAGTGGGGCAGGCCCAGGACAGCAGCTCTGTGCTGGCAGCGGCGCAAGACGGGGCGGCGGGGACGCACACTGTTCCGAGGCCCCGGACAAGACTGCCCACGTGCAGGTCCCCAGTGGCCCCCCGCCCCACCGCCATCCGGGGGGGCAGGAGGCAGTGTGCGGAAAACAGCTTCGTTCTGGTGCCACGCTCCCCTCAGGGGACAACCGCCTTTGTGGGACCCTCCCTGGGTGCCCAGCCAGGCCGCCCCTGGCCCACTGCTATAGCGGTGACCATGCCCAGCCGGACGGCTGGGCCGGGCAGGCGGTCAGACACGGAGCGGACTGCGGGCTGGAGGCGGGGCGAAGCCTGGGACCCCGCGGTCGGGCCCGGGCTGGCGGGTCCAGCAGCAGCCGCCACGCTCGGAGGGACAGACACAGAGCGGTTTCCAAACCCCTTCTGCGTGCCCTGACCTCAGGCACCTGCATCAGCCCTGAGCGGCCAGGTGCCCGCGCGAGGCCCGTGGGGACAGCTGGGCGCCGCCCCTGGGGGAGGGGCGGCACATCTCCCGCACGGCCCCCAGCCCCCCCCCCGCCGCGCCCTTCGCCCTTCCTGGGCTGATGGGGGTCAACGGGGGCGGGGCGGGGGAGGCGTCCCACTGAGGCATCGAATGACAGAAGGGCTGTGCTGGAGGGAAGCAGTGGCACTGTCCCCCGAGGGACCGAGGGACCGGGCAGGTAGCCCTCAGTAGCCACTCGCCTCGGGGAGAAGGCGCTTCAGTGCAGGGCAGCTACTGCCACTCTCCCGTTTGGGCCTCGCGTTCCCTCCCCGGACAGCAGACGTCTGGGGTCTGTCCTGACACCCTTGGCTGTGTGTCCTGATACACACTCCCTTTTGAGATGGTGACGGGGGTCACGAGCCACAGCGGCTCGGCACAGAGTGCAGGGCCCCGGACTCCTCTGCTGCGGAGGGTTTGGGAGGAGGGAGAGGGTCACGTCCAAAGGCGTTGAGGGCTTATCCTGGGGCCCGTGAGGCGCACGGGGGTGGGGGGGTGGAGAGAGCGAGCGAGGGGGCGTGTGTGAGCGCACGCGTGTCTGGGCGAGTGCGTGGGACTGGGTACAAGTGCGTCTGAGTGTGAGTGTGTGTGCACCTGTGTGGGGGCGCGCGTGCGTGTGCGTGCCTGTGTGAGCGTGCGTGAGCGTGACTGCGGGGCGAGTGCGCGCGTGTGTGAGTGCACGTGTGACGGCCCAGGCGGGTTCTGCCTGAGAGCCCGCCCCCTTCTCGGCACAGTCTCTTCCCGGCGACCGAGGCCCCGCGTCCTCCGCAGGGACCGGCGTGCGCCGCCCCGGGTGTGAATGGAGGGGACAAGGGCGCTGTGAATCTCTCTGTCAAACAGGGAAGCCCCCCGCCAGTGTGGCGGCCGCCCGTGGGACCGCCCGCGGCTCAGCCCCGCGCCCCGCGAGCCCCGCGGCCAGGCCCTACCTGCACCGCCCAGTGGAGGGCCGTCTTGAAGTCCCGATCCGCAAGCGTGGGGTCCGCCCCCCTCTTCAGCAGCATCTGGGTGTGCTGCGGCTGGTTGTGGAAAGCTGCCCAGTGCAGGGGCGTCATTCCCTGCGAAGGCAAGGTCCGAGGGGGCGGGGGTGAGCGCGGGCTGCCGGGGGGACGCGGAGCCCCCACTCTCTCCCCAGGCCGGACGGCCGTCACCGCGCGCTGGCTGCCGCCTGCCAGGCCGTTCGCTCCTGAAACCCTTCACTCAGCCCAGATCCACTCGCTTCTGCCTTGTGCCAGGACATGCGTGCTGTGGCTGCTGCAGGGACCACGGCGAGCAAGACCCTTGCCCGCGTGGGAATCGCGCTCGGGGAGAGGAAGGCAACAGCTGCACACGAGCGACGGGAGGGTTGCCGGGCGCTGGGAAGAACACGCGTGCGGAGCCTGGCAGAGCGACCCGGGGCGGGCGCTGCTCCGCGGGCGTCCGGGAGCCGCCAGCAGGTCGCGCACGCTGGCCCCTGGGACCGGAGCCCCGCTGGGATGTCCCCTCCGCCACGAGGGCAGCGCGCGGCCTGCTGGGCTGCCGCCCCTACGGCGGGACCAGGAACGAGCCGGTGACCGAACGGAGGAGGGGTGAAGAGGGAGAGGCGGAGGGCCGTGGGAGGCGCAGCTGCGCGGGAGGCCGGCGCTGGCCCTGAGGGGTGGGGGGGTGCCCACCCCGCGGAAGGCACTGGATTCTATTCTGAGGTCAACGGGAGGACGGCGCAGGGTTCTAAGCAGATGCCGACGCGATCTGGTTTGCGCTGTGGAGAACTAATGATGCCGTGGCCTTTGGAGAACCGAGGTGGGCGAGTCAATCTGGTGAATGCCTGTCTCGCTCAGAGCCTAAGGTCACATGCTTCCAGCATCACTTCAGTCAAGCGAGCTCCTGGCGGCCTCTCTGCGCTGCCCACGCCTCTCGATGGCACGTAGCAGAGCTGAAGTGACTGCAGGTGGGACAAAGGGCTCGGCCGGCTCCAAAGCCTCTCTTGCTGTGTTCATCTCTGCAGACAATGCAAAGGTAGGCGTCCCGGCCTTGGCCTCCGCCTCACCCACGGCGGGCCGAGTGGGGAGACGGGGTCAGCAGGGTCAGGAGAGCAGGGCCCTTTGTCCCAAGTCAACGCTTGCTGGCCCAGGGCCTCTGCGGGTTCTTATGTGTGTTATCGCACACCGTCTGGGTTAAGTGGGGGGGAGGCCGCTACCTGCCTGCCAAACTCTAGTTTTCCCTTGTCCGGCACACAGACCCCACTTCCCAGCCTCCCCACAGGCGGGTGTGGCGTGGACGGCGTCCTGACCACTCCACGTGACCCCCCGTCACGGAGCCCCTCGGGACGCCCACGTGGTCCTGCAGGCATCTTCCCTTCCTCATCTGACAACTGGATGCAGGGGCGCATGGGCTCGAGAACGTGCTGGAAACGTGCGGTTGACCAGCCCGCAGCCCCGACTGAGCCGGTAGGACAGGGCCCTCTGGTCGACCAGCTCTGGCTTCTGACGCCAGCAGGGCGTAGGCGGGCAGCGCGCCAGGGCCCCGAGACGCGGGCTGGTTTGCGGTAGCAGTTAGCAGCTCTGGCAGGTGCCGCTCTGCTTCTCAGTTTATGGAAGAGGAAGCTGAACTCCGGAGAAGTCCCCAAGTACGTGGGCGGCCAGGGAACCGAATCTAGGGCGTGAGGTCTGCGGGGCACTGGGGGTAGACGTGAAATCCCCGTGGCTGGTTCCGTGTTCTGCGTGGCTGGGTTATGGTCTGCTTTCAAGTTTCAAGTTCCAGCCGCGTAACACTGAGCCTCTGGAGAGATCCTTGACAATATTTCAAGGAATTGGTTACATAGGGACAAGAACGCTGGTCTAAAGGTGGTGGAGCTCCTCACTCTTGTTCCAACAGCTGTGTGTTTTCTTGCGACTCAGAATATATCGATGCATCTCGCTTCCCAGCTGGGCCTCTGGAGCTGGAGGCCTGAACTCGAGAGCATCGGCTTCTTCCTGTCACGCATGGCTTTCCTCTTGCTAGTGCTGAGTCCCCTCTGCTTCAGCCATTGGCCTCGTTCTGAAGTGCCACCCTGCCCAGGGTTAAAGGCATCGGGACGAGGGAGTCACTGAGTGGGAGCTTCACAGGGCCTGGAGGCCTGTCTGTCTGACTCCCTGTAACGCCTGACCAGTAAACACCTGTTCAAGGAACGAATGACTTCTCACTGTCCCTGAGTGAATTTTTTGCTTTTGTATAATCTGGCTTTGCTTTTTAAAACCATGCACACAGGAAAGGAAGGCCGCACATGACCCACCTGTGTAGGAAATGAACTTGTCTAACACGATCGCTGTCACCAAATCACCCACGAAGCCTGTCAAGATGCATGATGAGCGCGCCCAACAAGGCGGCCCGCAGCCGCCGTGCGCAGAGACAGGACTGCGACGGGAGGACCCCACGGGAACATGTGGCTGGGACGGACCCCCGTCTACTGGTGGACCCTTGTCTCCTACACACAGTCAGGTTCCAATTGTCTGGAAACAACACCCCACCAGCTCCAAACAACCAACCCACCTACCCAGCTCTGCCTGCTTTGGTGAGGGCGTGGGGCTGGCACGAGCGCGGCTGTTGTGCGTGCGTGTGCCTGGGGCCCAGAGCTTCCTACACGTCACCTCCCTCTGTCTCCACGACAGCCCCGGCCATGCCCAGGGAGTTCCTCCCGCGCCGCAGGGGTTCCCGGGGAGGCGCTGAAGCGCAGGCGGCTCCCTGGGCCTCCCTGTGGAGGCTCCCGGGCCCGAACGCTGAGCGAGCCTGCAGCAGACACTGGTGCAGAATTCCACTTTTCTGATGAACAGAAACTACCGGTTCAAAGAACAAGGAGAGACTCGCATTCGGTTAAGAACGGGCTCTCCCGGTGTGCTGCAGGGAGGCGGCCCTGGGAGGCCCCTGGGGCAGAGCGTGGTCACCGCCGGGCTCAGGGGCCGCTTTGGAACCACACAGCTGCACTGATGAGTCATTTTGTGCCCTGAGCCTGTGCCACCAAAATGCCAGCTAAGGGCTTACAAGTCCTATCAGCTTCTGAAAGCTCCCCCCTGCAAACCACTGCAGCCCTTGTATTTCCTGAACCGGAGAGCTGGTTCAGCAGCGAGCAGTCTCTGCGTTTCGGAAGCGCTCTTTCAGGAGGGCCTGGTGGCGCTGCGGGCACCGGGACAGGTGTGTGCTGCGCCAGGTGCTCTGGGGACACGGTCCGAGCAGGCGGCGGGCGGGTTGGCAAAGCCACCCAGGTGCTTCCGAGGCCCCGGAATCGCCCGGAGTCCAGCCAGGCCTGGCGGGCCTCTCCCGCGCACGCACCATCGGCACGGATCTGTACCGGGCCAGGCCGCCCCCACAGGGGTCCGGAAGAGCTTTCTGTGGGCAAAGAGTCGCCAGCGGGGCTGTGCTTCGAAGGAATAAAAAGCCTTTCAGAAGTGCGGTCGTGAGAGCTGTCTTCTTTAATTTTTCATTGGAAAACATCTCACAATTACAGATCAAAAAGACTAGTAAATGGATTTGTCGCCTTCGTTCTAGGGTTCCCTGGTCTGCACAAACGGTGCGCCCCCGGGCCCCAGCGGGAAGAAAGCCGCCTGAGCTGGACGTCGGGGCCCCGCGCCCGCCTGCGGGCCGCGGCCTCGTTTGAAGCTCTCGCCCTCTCCCTGCGGTAATGACCAAGGCGATGTGCCTGCCAAAAAGAAAAACTGCCAGAAGGGACGTTTTCTTCACGTAAATGAGACACACATGCAAGAAAAACAATATAAATCCACGTAGGTCAGATTTAGATGTTGCGATGAAGCATCAGAGCGAAGTCTAACAAGAACCAACGAGTAAAACAAAGCCTTCAGAGCGCAGGCCTGGGTCACGCTCAGTGAAGCGGAACCTTCGTGTGCTTCTGCCCTGAGCTCTGGCCTCGCTCAGCACAGGGCGCAGCCCGCCCGGGGCACGGCAGGCCCCCGGCAACGCGCCGAATGCGTGAAACGACTGCTTTCCCTCGACGCGGGGGCGCACGGATGACAGAGGCGAGTCTCCCCCTGCAGGCTGACGCGGCGTGGGGCTGGGGCAGAGGGGCGCAGGCGCCTACAAGCCGCGACTCCGTTCCGTTTTCTCGGGGTGCGCATTTGTAGGATAACGATCCTGGTGCACTAGGAGAAAACGGGCTCTCTCATCGTACCTTTTGCCAACTATCAAGTGAAAGGATTTCTAGAGTTGGGGACTATTTGTTTTGATTTGCCTTTACAGTGTACAATGTGTGCTTGTGGCTGTATCTTAGGAATGTTAGTGCTAAGCATTACAGCCGAAGGTTCACATCTGTTTTTTACAGCTTGGCTTTGTTTTCTCAATGTGCTGCGGTAACGGAAGTTTGGCTGTGCGGCCACTCACAGAAAAATCTCCCTGGGTCCGAACGTGCATGGATATAGAATCCACGGCGCACCCCAGGCACCGCACATGCTGGTGCTTCCCGGGGTGGAGGTCCGGCTCTAACACGCGTGTCAGCAGCTCCTAGGCCCTCACGGGGTGTCTCCCTGCCCGCGCCGGGCGAGAGCAGGACTGGGCAGCTTCCGGGCTGTCCGTGGCCTGTGGGCTCCCCGGCGCCGCAGGGAGAGGCCCCCCTCGGCGCAGGCCCCCCTCGGTGCAAGAGAACAAGGCACAGCGTGCCTGGCCCGCCTGCCTCTCCCTCCCTGTGCAGCTCTGCACGGTGGCTGCTCCTGAATAAGTCACTTTTTAATTAAGCAGTGAGGTTAATCAAACAGAAAAAACAGAAACAGAAACTAGACCATTAGAGCAGACCGAGTTCAGAAGAGGAAGCAGGTATTTAACAAGGAAATCTTGTAGCCGACTGAAAGCATCGCAGACAGGCCCCGGGGGGCGGGGGGCCCACACAAAGGCAGCAGCACAAGCGGTCATGGGCAAGGGGACCGTTTGAGCGCAGCCCGTTTTAAAATCTGTGCGCAAGGAAAGACAGCATGAACAGTTCTGAAGGAAGAACAGGCTGAAAAGCAGTCGTGATCCAACAGCAAAGGATTCATTTTCAAAATATAAACTCCTACGAACGCAAGAGACACGGACAAGGAACCAGCGGGTGGGCGGACCGAGAACCCGAACAGGCAGGTCACAGAAGCAGCTCCAAAAACAACCCTCACGCCTGTGGGTGATGCTCCACCCCACCGGTTACCGGGGAGCACAAGTAAAGTGACAACAAGATCCAACAAGAGCAGGACAAGCCCTGTCGCGCTGCGGGGCGGAGCCGCGCGCTGCCGCAGCTGTGGGGGCCGCGGGGAGTCTTTGAGGGGCACGTGCGTGTCATGTGCGCAGGGAGGCTCGGACAGGGACACTCCAGGGCGGTTTTGCAAGGGTGGAAATGGGAGGCGACCTAAATATCCCCCCGGAGGGGACAGCGAAATAAACGAGGGTGTTTCGTAGGACGGTGGCCCCTCTTATCTGTGGGGGTCCTCGGACCGCGGCTTCGCCAGCCCTGCAGACACCGCGCTTTTCCTGAACACGCGCACGCAGGGTGAGATTTAGTTTGTAAACCAGGCACAGTGGGAGGTGAACAGTGACACCCAGGAGAGCTATGACAGCGCGCGGGGAGGGGGCGCGGGCGGCGCACTGTCGAGTAAGACCCGCCGTTCGCGGGACCCAGGCGGCTGCTCAGCGACCGGCGGCTCCAGCCCAGGAGCTCAGGGGCGCCGGCCGGAGGGCTGAGCCCCGTCCCGGCGGGACAGCGTGAGAGTCCGTCGTGCTGCTCGGAACGCTGTGCCTTCAAAACTCACGAGCTACTTATTTCTGGAATTTTCCATTTACTATATATTTTTTTTACCTCCGCTGACTCCTGGACACTGGAACGTGGAAGAGGGGGCCTGGGCTACCTGTGAAACACGAGGCGGTGGCTGAAGGGAAGGAGCCAGACGACACGTGCCACGTGAAGAAGGCCCAGGACTCTCCCCGAGGGAAGGCAACGAAGCTGCGGAACGACAGAGGGAGGGCGACACTCCCTCCGTGCATTCCGCGGGGTCCACGGACACAGAGAGGAGACCGGGGCGGAGACGCCGCGACGAGGGCTGCCTGGGGCCCCGGAGGTGCGGTGGCAGGACCCGGGGTGTCCCCGCATTCCTTGCGATCCTTGGAGCTTAGAAAAGCAAACGTGTTCATGAATTAATTACATAAGTAAAAGCTAATAATAATAATAGAACAACAACAATACGGACGTACTTCAAGGCCCTGGACTCGGGCAGGACGCCCCCGGCTGCTCGCCGCCCCGACAGAAAGTGGCTCCGTGCCTTGTTTTCCTGGGGCAGCTACAGCGCGGCTTCGGAAACAGACTTTCCTTCCCTCTCTCTGTTCTTTTGCTTCTGTTCTCATGAAGCTCAATTTCCACTGATTGACCCACTACTCTTTATCCGTTCTGGGGACAAGCTGGGGAGCCCTCCGGTGACCCCCAGAAACAGCCTCACTGGAACCGCAGCGGCGCTTCCCGCTCCCCACCGGCCACGGGGAGGCCAGGGCCCCCCAGCCCACACCTGGCTCCGCCCCGCCACCTGCCCTTGGTCTCTGCCGTCGGCTTCCCGCTCGGCGGCACCTCCAGGGTCTGGGCGCAGGCACTGCACCTGCCACCCTCGCGCCCGGTGGACACGGTGCTGCGGGAGCTCTCTGGAACTTTCCATGGGAGGTGGTGGGCGATGGTGTGTTCGGGACGTGGGGGAGCCAGAGGCAGGCCCTCCCCCATGGGAATGCGGAGAGAGGCAGCCTGGCTGCGTCCGCTCTGTTCCAGAACCATCCTCGTTTCCCGGGGCCAGGGAGCCCCCGCTCTTGCGGAGCTGTTTGCAGGGCCCCCCTGAGCGACGACACGTCTCTGCCCGAAATGGACAGCGTGGCAAGCACGCGCAGGCGGCTCTAGGTGGGGTCAGCCCGGCCGACAGGCCGGGACAAGCGGCCACACGGGGTGGGAGGTGGCCTTCCCAGGGCCCCTGCTCTCTGCACCTAGAAGTCCAGGGTCCGAACGTGGTTTCCCAGCTGGACGGAGGAAACTCCTCCGAGTGGTCACTTGGCAGAAGGACCAGAGGGCTTTTCCAATACTCGCGGCCCCCTGCCCCAAGCGCGTTACAAGGGGCACGGTTAGCAGGACGCGTCTCCTTTCCCTGGGCCCAGCAGCCGGGGCCCCGGGGTGGGGAGCAGAGTGAGGTTGCTTTGCTGTGGGGTGTCTGCCAGGCGGAGGGTCTGTGAGGGGAACTTCCTTTTCGGGTATGAGTGACTGAATCTGCACCACTTCTAAGCAGCCCGGTGTGGGGGCCCGGGGAGGGCTGCAGGCGGGCAGGGGCCGGCGCCTGCCCGAGGCCTTGATGTTCACCGTCAGCGGAGGCGCAGGCACTGCTGGCGCGCCCTGCCCTCACACCGCGGCCGCGTGACCGCTGCGTGCTTTCTCCTCTCTGGTTCTTGTTTCTAAAGCAGAAGTCGACCGCAGCGCTGTCCTCTCCCTTGGGTGTCCTGTTTTAAACCTCTGGGGACGTGGGAGTGAAAGCGGACTGCGGAGGGTGCAGCCGCCGGCTCGGGCGCGCCCACCCCAGCCCCAGGCTGCGGTGCAGGGACTCCCTGCCGTGGCCACCGGCCCAGGCCTGCTGGGCGGAGGCCCGGCCACCGAAGGCTGGCGGGGGGGCAGGGAGGACCAGGCTGGCAGGGGCTGCACCCGCCCCTGTCCCCCCCCACCCCCCGCCGTCGACAGCCAGCCTGCTCGTCGGCAGCAGAGCCGCTCGGCATTCGGGGCGGATGCACGTTCATCGCTGTCGGGCTTGCTTAACCATATTGCACGCTCTTAGCACAGGGTGGCCAAACCGAGCACAGATTTATAAAATACTTCATTAAAAACCAGGCATTTGAGTTGGTTTTCCGGAGCTTGTTAAAGCCATCAGGCTGGCTACGGCCAGTCAGCCCCGCTTCTGGAAAGAGCTAAGCAGGTCCCGTGGGGGTGGAGCCGCCGCGAAGCAGCGCCACGTCTGACCGGCCCTGGCTGGGAGCTGGCGTCTCGGGAGCCGCACCGGGCTCTCCCTGCGGCAGGAACGAAACAGCGGCCGTGGCCGCTGGCATTCAGAGCGTGGCCCCCCGGGGAGAGGGCCTGGGGTCGTCGTCTCTCCGACAGTGGCCCCTCCGAGAGAACGTGGCAGCCGCAGCTTGCCACCTGCGCTCTGGGGACTTGAGGGGACACGACAGAGCCATGTGGGTTTCTCGGTGTCCGGAGGGAAGAAAGTCACAGAGTTTCAGGGGCATGACAAAGGCCGAAGTACTTAATGCCACAACGGCCTCTCTGGGACGCTGCCCGCGGCCGCCGTCGGGGACAGGCTGCCTGAATGAAGGCCCCGGCGGCCCCAGCTGCGGTCTGGAAGGCCTTCCTCCCCCGCCACCCACCGACCTGCACAGTGGCCGCCGCCCCTCCCGCGCGCAGGCTCACCTCGTTGTCCTGGTGATTGATCTCACCGGGGTTCGACTGCTGCAGCAGCACCGCGAGGAGCCTGGAAAGAGAGCGAGGGGACGCTCCAGGGGCAGGCCCCGGGCGCGGCGGGCGGCGGCGCGGCGGGGGTGCCCCCCTGAGGCCGGCCCGGCAGGGCCTCCCGAGGCCCGTCCACTCCCTGTGTGACGGGGCGGGGGCGGCCCGGGGCGGGGACCGTGGCGCAGGGGCAGTGCGCCCGCCGCCCGGCCTTCACAGCAGCCGTGGCTGCCCGGCGCGCCCGCGCCTGCGGCTTCCTTTCTGAATTCTGGTAGACGAGGCCGTAAACAGGATTGCGTTTTGGATAACGCTGTTCTAGATTTGTAGTTACATTCTGCTGCTGGGCATGTTTTCCCCCAAAGCGGCCTTGTGGGGGGCAGCTGCTGGCTGCCTTTCTCCCTCCCTCTCCCTCGTTCTCGCTTCCCTCACCTCTCTCACCGGCCCCCCCCCCCCCCCCCCCCCGTCTTCCAGGAGGACATGCGACCGGAGGCTGCCTGCACGGCCACCCCACGCCGCCCCGGGTGCCCGCCTCCCACCCGCCTGCCGCCCGCGGCGGCTCGTTGTTGAGCTCTGTCTCCACCCCTCTTCCGTCGCCGCCGTCAGCGCCGGCTCCCTGGAGGCCGACGGCCCCCGGCAATAGCGCTCGGTGCCTCCGCGTGCTGCCCGGTCCTGCTGCCGCCCGCCCGGGAGGGGAGCCCTGCGCCTCCGCACTCGGAGGGAAGACAGCGAGCCTCGCCTCGCGCATCGGCGCGCCCCGGGGGACGTGGCCGCGGGGAGACGGCGCCCGCTCCACACTGACGCCTGAGCTGGCACCCCGCCGCCCTTGCCCCCGTCCAGAAGGCTCTCGCGTGGTTTTCCGGTGCACGCAGTGACGCGAGAGGAAAAGCGAGGGCAGGCGAGGAGGGCGGAGCCATGGTCCCGCCGCGGCCAGAGGCGGGGCACACGGTGGGCGCGGCCTTTCTGAACGCGACCCTAAGCCCCAGGGTCCACACAGGAAAAACGGAGAATAACTCTCCAGGGAAAGCAGAACAATTCCTTTCTCAGGGAAATTTTTCTTGTGGACTCTCAGGAAGGATTGCTGGACTTTGTAATGAATAAAACGCTTCCTGATCGCGAAGCGCCTTCGTAAGGCTGTGGGCCGAGGGCCGATGGCAAACTGTGGCCATCGAAATGACCCCCCAGGGCCCTCAGCAGACCCCGGCAGCTTGCTCATCCTCAACACGCACCAGGCCGCTCGTTCCGCGGGTGCCTCCGCTCCCTCGTCTACAGGATGACGGCAGCTGTCACCGTCCCCTAGGGGGCGGCGCCACCAGATTCCAGGAGCAGGGCCGCGGAGAGCACTGTCTGCCGTCGTCGCCCCGTTGCAGTGAAGACCTGCGCCTCGGGGGCAGCCGGGCCGACGGGTCCTCGCGTCCACGCAGGACAACAAAACCGCGTCCTCAGCAGGCTCTCCCGAAGGCGGTGGCCGCGCCGTCAGTCCCGCTGCAAGCACAGGGGAGCCAGCGCTGCCACGTCAGGGACGGCGGCGTGACGACCCCCCAGGGCGTCGAGGGTCACTGCCGGGCGTCAGAAACAGACTCGCGAGAAGAGAACGTGCCGCTGGACCGGGCTTCAGTTTGTTACGGCAGCGACTGCAGCCGAGGCACCTCACCGACAGAACAGCGTGGCCTCGGGTGTGACGTCGGCCGGCCGGGCCCAGGGCGCCCGCGGGAGCCATCACGCCCTTCTTCCTTGGTGTGGGGTCGCGGTCGCAAGGTGGACCCCTGGTCAGGGACTCGAGTCCCCAGCACCCAACACCCAGGTGTGGTCAAACCACAGACTGGTCCTTGAGTATGGAATGCGGGTGGGGGTGGAGGCGCCCTTTGCAGGCTGAGAGTTTAGAGGAGGAAGCGGGGCTTCCCTGCCCCCTCTCTCCCCACCCGCTGGCCGGACGCAGAGGGTCTGTGATCCCAGGGGAGGACAGCGTCGTCAGAGGGAAGAAGCGTGGGCCGCGGAGTCGCCACGTGGAGGGGAGCCAGCCGGCCCCCACGCGGGGCAGCGGGCAGCCGGCGGGCCCTGCAGCGCGGAGAGACACCGCGGCGCTGGGCTCGGGGTCACAGTGGCAGCATCGGCCGAGCCTGGAGGGCGCCTCCACCTCCCGGCGCCAGGCAGGCAGATTCGGGGGTGGCCGCAGGGTGAGGCGCACAGCAGCCATTACGTAGAGTGGATCAAGGCAGGGCGGCCCGAAGAGATACGTTTTGGCCCTATTTCCTGCAGGTCCCACCTAGGGAGCCGGCAGGATGTCAGGGCGCCCACTTCTGAGGCGTCTGGAGGGCGGCGCTCCCGCTCCGGCCTGGACGCGCCCCGTGCCTCGTGGTGTCTGCCGACTCCAGGCGCTGCGCGGGCCGCTGCTTCTCTGCACGTCTTTGTTTTGTGAGGCTGAGTAAACTCAGTTTTCTGTTATTCCTGGACGTAACCCAATGCTGGTAAGAAGCGAGGCTTGGCTGGGCGCAGACGTGGAATTTCCCAAGCCCTCTCACTTCAGTGCCCAGCAGGCTGAAGGAGTCCTGTGACCTCCGCCCCACGGGGCCAGGGCCAGCTTGGGGTGCGGCGTCCCCGCCCCCAGATGCTCAGTTCCTGTCAGTCGTGTCCTGTGCAGCTGCGGCTGGGGAAGTACCCAGGGTGCTGCTGACTCCCGGCAGGACGCGCAGCGGTCAGCGGGCCCGAGGGGCTTTCAGGAGATGGCAGACCGAGGCCGCTGGGGCCCCAGGCTGCGGAAGCTTCGCTTGGCCTGGGCAAGACTCTCCCCTTTGCTGCTGAGCTGCCTCGCAAAAGCATGGCCTTTGCGATCGCGCCATTGATGTGAGCGCATCTCTCCCCCAGCCCTCCTGCACGCCTGGTCGTCCGTCCCACCCACCGGCGCCCCGTCCCCTCCTCCCCCCGACCCAGGAACGCCCGCTGGGCCTGAGTTCCGGCACCCTCCTTTCTGCTGCCCCCCGCGCCCTCGCCTTGTTGGGTTTTCTCCCTGGCACTCTAGCCTGAGGGATCCTGTTTATGGTTTTACAAGTGGCCACGCAGCTCTGCCCTGGGGCGTGAGCCTCCTTCCCATGGGACGCGCAGGCCCTCGAACAGAGTGCGGCCCGCGGCACCTGCTCAATCAGTAGTTATGAATTAGTAGGCGACTGATTAATTGAAGGGATGAATGTATGAATTTGGATGATGACAAACAGCACTGCTCCTTAAACCAGACTAGGAGAAAAGGGTCGGTCGGCTAGAGTGTGGTCAGTCCAGGCTATTTTGATGTACTCAGATGCAGCCCTGTCCGCTCCAACCTCAAATAATTGGATGAATTTGTCTTGACTTGCGACAGAGGGTTGGGGCAGGTAACCTTCTGGTCCCCGTCGGCCCCCCGACCCGAGTGCCGGGACCCGGCCGCTCACCTCGCGTCGGGGTCTGCCGTGGCCGCGTGCAGCGGCAGGCGGCCGTTCCTGTCGGGGATGCTGTGCTTGGCGCCGTTCCGGAGCAGACTCACGCAGCCTTCCAGCCAGCCCTGGAACAGGAGAGCGGCGGCTCCGTCACGCGGCAGCCCCACGCCGCAGGCACCGTCTCTCGCGCCTCCCCTCCCCCCTGTCATGGCTGGACACACGCCATGCCTGACTCAGGGGGATCAGCACGTGCCAGGCGCGCACACCTCAGCCGGGGCCCGGAGCTCTGGAGGGGCCCTCGAGCTCTCCCGGCGGACGGAGCCTGGCCCCTAGACTGCCCCACGGCCCCCTTTCCAGGTGTCCCACTTCTGCCCTCGGCCCCGGGGCATGGGGTGGGGGTGATGGATCCGCTCTAGCCTCTCATTCTGCAGGTTCAGCCCCAAAACGCGCCCGTCCATGGTGCGACCTCAGCCCCACGGCCCCACACCCCTGCCGCCTCGGGGGCCGTCCCTGAGCCCCAGCCCCGCTCCGCGCCTCAGTTTACCTGCACCCGACAAACAGGCCGTGGCCCTCTGGTCCGAATCCCCTTCCTACTGACCACGGGGACGACGTCCGGCTCGTTCTCGTCAATCCCCTCCGTGCGCCCCGGCCCCCCGAGCCCTGCCCCGGTGGCCGGGACCTGCCACCTCGCGACGGACTTTTCCGATGGCAAGGAAGGGGTTATCGGCAGCACCCTCAAAGGGCCCCAGGGCTGCGTTTTCTCCACTCACAGGTCCCAGGACACCTTGCGCGAACCCCCGCTGCCTCCGCCGCTGTCCCTCCCTCCTCGGTCCGCACCTGCCGCTCGTCTTTCCACACGTCTCTCCCCCAAGAGCAGAGAGAATTGCGGGCTGGGCCCCTTTCTGTCCCATAGACACTGCGCAGCCGACTCAGCCCCGCCGATGACCAAGATCGTCTCGGCCGCCGAGGAGCGGCCTCCTCCATCGTCCACCGCCGCGGGGTGGGCCCCTCGCTCCCGAGACCGGTATGTGGGCGAAGCTACTGTCAGGAAGGATGATCGACAGCTTTCTTCCCAGCTCTCCTCCTCTTGTGGAAAGTTAAGCCTCAAGATTCCCAAGGAAGGTGAGAAAGATGCCTGGAGATTTCCCTCACAAATTTGGAAATAGTAAAAATCAAAATGTTATTAAATGCTCAGGGGAGAAGGGAGATAATGATAAGAAAAGGATTTTTAGGTTCCGAAAAGTCTGGGAAAAAACCTTTCAACAAAAGTACAGAAGAATCCATAGGTTATGATGTTGAATATGATTTTGTGGAGTTGACAAATCTAAGTCTTAAGTAGTTTTCTTCTTAAGTCAGCGTTTGCTAAGGAATTAGGTCTGGCTAACGCCCAAATCGTCAAGCTTGTTTATTAAGAGAAAAAAGTGGGACCAGGAGACCCCACACTGGACAAATTCCAGGAGTGCCCGAGTTTACAGTCCGTGAAAAACACCTGATGGGGGAGGGGTGAAACAGTCTCATCATTCCGCAACGTTCCCGGGCGCTCTGTGTGTATGGTTTTCTCTCTCTTCAGAAAGGAGCTGGGGGGCAGCCAAACACCCTGCAGCCCGCTGTTCGGAGCCCACGGCCCGTCCCTCCTCCCACGGGGGAGCCTGGGCTGCCGCTGCTGCCCCGTCTCACAAGCGAGGAAAGAAGCGCAGGGGGAGCGGCTCGCCTGAGGTCGCACGACTGTGGCGAACCCGCCTGTGTCCTGAGTTTGGAGCTGCGGCTGAGCCTTCGTTTCTGAGGCCCCTCTGCCAAGTCCCTCTCGTGTTTGGACGCAGGCTCTGCCAGGGCGCCTGGTGGGCGTTGCAGGGCCCGCCCGCGGCAGGGGGTCCTGGGACGGGCGGGAGGGGGCTGCCTGGGGGGCCACGCAGAGGCGGTGCGTTGTTAACTGGGTGGGTGAAGCCCCCTGGTGTCCTGCAGGCATGCTCCCCCGCCGCCCCCGGGTCTCCGCAGAGCGCGTCCCCAGGGAGGGCTGCCTGCCCGGCGGGCAGGGCCCTGGCTCGCAGTCACGGCGACCTGGAGGAGGGCCTCTCTGCGGCCCGGCTTGGAGCTGTCTGGCCCGAGGAAGTCGGGATTCTAGTATTTGAAGGAAGCGCGGCTTGGTTCCCCGCTGCTCGAACTGCCAGCGGCAGGTCAGCCTCCGAAGCGTCTCTGCTGCCTTGCCCCCCCCCCGCCCCCCCCCCAAGGGGGCTCCTTTCCTTGGCTCCCCGACTCCGAACAGCTCCGCAGCAGGAGGAGCTCGCAGGCGTGGACTCCAAGGGAGGGCCTGGGAGGGCGGGCCGGTGCCTGGCTGAGACCCTGACCTTCACCCAGGCCCTCGGACCAGCGGCCTTCTAACCTGAGTGGGCAGACAGACGGCCAGCAAGGGCCGTCTGCCACGCGGGCCCCCGCCCGCTGCCCCGCATCCGACCTGGAGGCCTAGGGCGCCCTCCCGCTTGGAAAACGCTCCCGACCCGTGGGAGGGGCCAAGAGGAAGGGGGCGGGCGGACAGGCTGAGGAAGCGGCCTGCACGAGCGCCTAAGCGCAGGGCCAGGAGGCACTGCGGCCCGCAGAGCGCGCCGGCGCCGCGCTGGGGCTTCACGGGTCCTGTTTCTGGGGGCAGCTGCAGCCTGCGGGGTGGGGCCCCGGGGGTGGGGGCCCAGGGCGGGTCCGCTGCCCCGGGGCAGCAACAGCAAATGCAAGAAGCGGCCTGGCAGCCGCGGCGGCTACGGTGGTGGTTTCCAGGAGCCTCATGGACGGAGGGAGAGTGACGGCCGTCAGGGGGCGCTAAGGGGGCCTCGATCGGCCTGCAGCGGGGCTCCCCAGAGGACCCCGGGGCGGGGCTCCGAGAGCCGGGCCTGCGGGTTTCCCGGAAGGCTCGCCAGGCGAGCTCCGAGGGGGCGCGGACTGGACCCTCCCGTGGCGAGGCCCTACTCAGGCTCTAAGCCGAGCACGGACTGTGGACCGAGCCCTCTGCCTGGGCCCGCCCCTCAGCAACCCCGTGTCTCTCCCCTCCCCCCGACCCCCCAGGTCTCCTCGCTCCCCGCAGTGCTCCTCCCGCACCTCCCACCCCACTCCCCCGGCCCCCGGGTCCGTGCAGCTGCAAGGGCGCCGCCCCCTTGGGGGACCCCAGGGAGCCCGGAGACGCCCACGGGACATCCCGACGCCGTTCCGATGGAAAAGACTCTCTCTCACGGCACTGCCATCTCTGTCTTAATTTTAAGGGTTGTTAGGAAGCTCCAAAGTGACTTGAATCCATGACACCAACTCTAAGTGGTGACATACACATGGGCGAGGACTGACGCGCAGCTTCAAGTTCAGTTTCCGCGGGCCGCACCAGCCCAAGGACGGCGCTCTGCAGGGGGACCCCGACACGACGCGCTCAGCACCCCCAGCCCCGCTCCCGGGCCGTGGCAGGCGCGGCCGGTACCAGGTAGGAGGCCAGGCACAGGCTGGTGCGGCCGTGGGCGTCCTGGGTGTTGACGCTGGCGCCCATCTTCAGCAGCAGCTTCACCGTGTCCGCCTGACGCCCAGACACCGCGTGCATCAGGGGGGTGCACCCTGGAAAGAGACATTGGACAGCCTGTCAGAAGCTGCTGGCCGGGCCCTGGCCGCGACCGCGTCTGCCGGGCCCGCCCTCCCCCCAAGCGCCGCTGCGAGCGGCCCGGGACTGAGCGGAGGCAGCGGCAACGCGCGTGTGAACGGTGCTTCCGGCCCGATCCGCTCCCGCGGCTTCGCAGCCCCCTGGGCGTGGAAGCGTGTCGCGCAGATGATGAACGCTGCGTGCCTTGGCTGGGGAAGCGGCGCCAGCCGGGGAGACGGGCCGGCCTTCGCCGGCGGCGGCCTCGCCCGGGTCGCGCACACGCCTGCTGGGAGGGGCTGCTCTCTCTGAAATGCTCCTCTGTGATCGGAGTCAATACAGATCAAGGCCTTTCGTTTCCCAAGTGTTTTATCCCCGAACAGAACTCAAGACAAAATGACACGTGTCGGCGGACCTGGCAGGGCCGGTGCCACAGGCGAGACGGGCGGGAGAGCCCCGGGGCCCGCCCTCCTCGGGGGCGGGACCAGCCGCCGCGCGCCCTGCCGGCCGCGCTCGTTAGGGGCCTTTCGGCTGGAGATGCCCGTTGAGGTTGTGATTCTCCTGTGACCCGCAAGCTACGCGCCGTAGAGGGCCCCGAGAATGACAGATTCCAGCTGCTATTCTCACCGAAAGATGGTGGCCGGCAAGCCAGTTTCCCTCCAAATGTTCCCAGCGCTCTCTCAGGCACCGCTCGGGGCGAACCGGCAGCGAGACGCCCCGTCTTCCTCCCTCCCTCCCCCCCCTCCCTCCCCTGCTTTGAGCATATCTGTGTGTGAGTCTCTGACTTCTCCGTTCTTTCCCATTGACCTCTGTCTGTCCCTCTGCTATACCGTGGATTTATGTAGCCATGTAATGTCTTGAAATTGGGTAGACTGATTCCTCCCACCTCGTTCCTCTTTTTCAAAATTGTTTTTAACTATTCCAGTTCCTTTGCCTTTCTATATAGATTTCAGATAAGTGTGTCTATATCTGCAAAAGCATCTTGCTGGGGTTTGATAGAAATTACATTAAACCTGTGTATGACATCTGGGGAGCTTTACTTGTTTACTATGTTGTATCTTCTAATCCATGAACATGGTATGTCTTCCTATTTATTTAGATCTTCTCTGAGTTCTTTCTTCAGCAGTTTATAGTTTTCAGAATACAAGTCCTAAAAATATTTTGTTATATTCACACCTAAGAATTTTTTATTGAGTGGTTTTAATTTCGGTGTCCATGTGTTCATTTCTAGCATATATAAATACAATTTATTCTGTATATTGATCTTATATCCTGTGACCTGGCAGAACTCACTCAGTTGAAGCAGTTTTTTGGTAGGTTCTGTAGGATGTTCTGTGTAGACAATCAAGCCATGCAAAAAAGGAACACGTTTATTTTTCCCTTTTCAATATATGGGCCTTTTATTTGTCTTTTGCCTCTGTACACTGGTGAGAACTTCCTGCACTATGAGTGAGAGTGGACATCATTGTTTTGTTTCCGACTTAAGAGAAAAGAATTTAGTCTTTCACCATAAAGTAAAATGTTAGCTCTAGGGGTTTTGGTAGATATCAAACTGAGGAAGTTCCCCTCTTTTCTTATTTTCTTCTGAGAGTTTTTATAGAATGTGTGTTAAATTTTGTCAAATGCTTTTCCTGCATCAATTTATAAGATTATACAATCTTTTATTTTAGCTGGTTAATATGATGGATTACATTGATTGATTTTCAAATACTGAACAAGACATATCCCTAGAACAAACCCCACTTCACTTGGTTATGGTGTATAATTCTTTATTATATATATTACCAATTCTATTTGCTAATATTTGCCAAGGATATATGTATATTCATAAAGAGTATTGGTCTGTAGGTTTGTTTTTTATATCATCTTTGCCTGGCTTCATAAACATAATTGAGAAAAATTTCCCATTCTTATTTTTTCTGCAAGAAATTATATAAAATTGATATTAATTATGATCTAAAAGTCTGCAGAAGTATTTAGTGAAACTGTCTAGGCCTAAAGATATCTCTGTCTAAGAATTTTAATGTTAGGAATTTAATTTCCTTAATAGCCATAGGTCTATTCAAATTACCGATTTCCTATTGAATTGTGGTAGTTACTCTTTTTAGTGAATTAATCCACTTAATCTAAATAGCAACACTTCTGCATGCAGAGTTGTTGGTTGCATTTGTCTGTTGCTCTCCAGGTGTCTGCTGCGATACTTTGGTCTCATTCCTGACAGTGGAGGTTTCTATCGTCTCTCAATTTCTTTTTGTCAGTACTATTGCTAGAAGTTTGTCAGTTTTATTGGTCTTTTCAAAGACCAGGTCCTTCCTTAATTGATTTTTCTATTGTTATTCTGTTTTTAATTTCATTGGTTTCTACTCTTTATTATTTTTTCTTTTGTTTGCTTTGGGTTTATTTTTCTCTTAAGTGAGAATTTAAGAATGTTGACTGGTACTTTTCCTCTTTTCTAATGAAAGTATTTAGCGTTATGAATTTCCTTCTTAGCATGGCTTAAGTTGCTCCCACAAATTCCGCTACATTGTACCCTCTTTCCCATTCACAGCCAGTCAGTACAAGTCAGGATTGAACTCAAGTGGCTCTTCCATTTATCACACAAGGGGTGTTTAACCTTTAACTCTCATTTCCACATTAGCCCCAAGGTAGATGTACAAGTCTGCTTTAAAAACAAACAAACAAATTAACAAACACTACCATGAATACATTAGGGAGCAAAATCCACAAAACACTTAGCAATTATGATAGGGGAATTCAAAGCTCCTTCTGGGACGGGTCAACTGGTCAGAAATTATTGACTTCACAGAAGCACTTGGGAGGGAGAAACCAGGATAATCTTTTATTATATCATAGCTCTGTAGGTCCCTGGGGCTCTGTTCTTTTTTGTTTTTTTTTTTTTTAACTTCTTTTTGGTGGTTCAGCGTGGCTCATTTCTGTGGAGGGGCTTGTCCATCGAGCTCTAAATCATGTATTTTTGACTTCTAAAAATTTCTACCTGGTTTTTCTGTGTCTGTTCTTTGCTGAGGCTTTCTAGTGTTTCATTTGTTTCAAGCATTTTTGTAATTGAAGTATTCTTTTTTCATGGCTACGTGAGAATCTGTGTCCGATGATTCTAGCATCTGTCATCTCAGTGTTGTGACATCTATCGACTGTCTCCCTTTTCATCCAGTTCGAGGTCTTCCTGGGCAGGACAAGTGATTTTCTATTGAAACTTGGGCTTTTGGGGTACTGTGTCACAGGTCCCTTAAGCTTACATACACCCTCTATTTTCTTCTGCTTCCTCTGACCCTATTCCAAAGCGGGGGAGGGGAGCCCCTTCGTTACTGCCTTGTGGGCCTGGGGGTCCGGGTTCCCTCCGGAGCCATCTGAAGGGGAAGACTCTTCACGACTGCGGGCTGATGGTGCGAGTCCCGTTCCCCAGAACCTCCTCTGGCCCCAGCACAATAAGTCGGGGGGTGGGGGAAGCTTGCCCCCCGCAGGCGGAGGCGGGGCGGGCGGGGCGGTGCGCGCGCGCGTGCGCACACGCGTGGCGCCTGCCCGGTCGGGGGTCGCGGCTGTCCGAGAGCCTCTGTCTCGCCAGCCGGCTCTTCTCTGGCTCTTCAGCTGCAGGGCGCAGGCTTCGGCCGCGGGTCTGGTCTGACCCTGCGGCTCCCCTGCGTCTCTGGCTTCTGGGGCCCCACGTCTGGACTGCAGGAAGCAAGGCTCCGGGAGCGCACCGCCGTGTCACTGCTTGACGCCGCGGTCCCAACCAGTCCGTCACTTCACTGCCACCCTCTGCAGCATCCCGTGTTTATTTTGTGTGACATCAGGGAGTGGCGGGCGTATTGAGCCAGAAGGGCAGGGACGAAAGCGCCCCCATCCGCCCTCTCGGAAGCGGGCCCCCGCTGCTGCCTGCCGCCGTCCCCCTGGCCTGCGCCGTCGCTGCAGAAAGCAGCCCTTCTCCCCATCCCTGCTCTTGGCCCCTGACTTCCGACATTCCGAGGGAGACGTCGGGAACAGAGTCAAACCGACTGGCTTCCCTAGAAGAGGGGACGCAAAGAAATCTGTCACCTGTGCCCGAGACCCTCATTTAAAGAGGCCGAGGCGCCCTCCGCTGCCCCCAGCGCGCCCTGCCTGCGGGGGCGAGCGCCCCGCAGGCCCGGGCCCAGGCTCACCTTCGCCGTCACAGCACTCGAGGACAGACGGGTCCTCCCGGATCGCAGCCGTCAGAGCCCCGACATCGCCATTCGCTGCCGCCTGGTAGACCAGGGTCAGGTCGACTTCCTCCGATGACTCGCCTGCGTGACTCAAACAGAGACACCCTCGGTGCGTGCCAAGATTCACTGAAAGGGCAGCGCCCAAAGGTCGCCCGCACCGCGGATTCAGGAACAGCTCTCTGTGAGGGTGGGCGCAGGGCTGAGTCAGCCGCTCACGGGCACCGCCGCTGCTCCCCGAGAAAGGCGGCGGGGGTGGCCGCAGGACCGTGCCGCCAGCCCTGGGAAGGAGCCTGGGGGACTAGCTGTGCCCTGAGACTTCTCCGATCCCTCCCGGCATTGGCTACGCGAAGCCTGAGACCCGCCAGTCTGGGCTTCCCCTTTTTATCTGAAACATGTCACTTTTCCTTTCAGTGACTCGGTGTATCCACCTTTGAAAGCAACCTGGTGCCTCTCCTCCTCTGTCCTCCAGCTGTGCTCCCTCCCCTTTTCCCGCCCGCTCTGTGCCCCGAGAGCCCACCCTTGTTGACAGCACCCCCACTGCTGCCCCCCACCAGCCTGTCCTTGGAGATGCGGGGCAGGAGCTGGCGGGGAGAGGGGCAGAGGCCACTTCTTCCTGCCCTCCTTGCGCACCGCGGCCCACGGAGGCTCCTCCTGCCCCAAGCCGCTCGCCGGCTCCCGTGGGGAACCAGCCTTGTCCTCGGCTCTGCCTCGTCTTGCAGTCGCCCCCCCGCCCCCGCCACGGGAGCCCCTCCACGGGGCCGACGGGGGTGTCAGGACAGGGGCGGCCAGAAGGAACAGAGCTGTGTGCAGCCCCTTTGACTTTGGTGGCGGCCGGCACAACGCCTCTGGGCCCACCTGGACCGGCGGTGCCGGCGGAGCTGCGGGTGGAGCGAGACCAGGGCAGCGCCGGGAGGCCCGGGCGGCCGGTCCCGCTCGCAGGGGCACCTGGCGCGACGCTGTGCCGAGCCGCCACTCACACGCTCCCCCGTGCACAGCCACCATCCGGGGAAAACGTGTGTGAGGAGAGCTCTGCATTCTGCTCCTGACGTGGGCGTGGGGCCTGAGGAGCGTCTCAGCCCAGCTGGCCTCTCGCTGGCAGGGGTCCTGGCTCTCAGGCTCGGTCTCCCTTGCCCGGTATTCCTGGGGCGTCGCCGATGGTGTTTTACGCGGCGGACCCATCCTGGGAGGAGCTCGTTATTGAAAGCAACCCACCCGGAACAGCGAGCTGCCTGGGATGTGCGTGGCTGCCCCCCTCAGGCACCGCAGCAGGCGGTGGCTGCGGTGTTTCTCAAGCCGCCCCACGGGGACGCCTGCCTAGGGCAGGGTGGGGCTGCAGTGGGCGGTAAGGGGGGTCCAAGGCCACCTCCGCAGCGAGCACCGCTGCCTGGGCTCGGGTCTGGGGCGTGACCGTCGACCTCAAGCATTCGGGCCGGTTTTTGCTCCTCGGCCTCCATTGCCTTTTCTTCCCCTGGCCGCTGAGGGCGATGGCCACCTGCCTCGTCAGCTCATTGCGGAACAAGCGAGTGGCTCCCCCGTGCGGCGAGAGCGGTGTGTGCTTTGTCACTGCCACTGCCGCCTTCTCTCCTGCAGCGAGAGGCCACCGGGCACCCAGGCCACAGAGAGGAAGAGGCCTTTCTCTGGGCGCCGAGGCAGCGCGCCCACAGGCTGCGGGGACGCTCGCTGTCGTCAGAGGCCCTCCCCGCAGCGCAGGTGCTTTGCTGAGGCTGCTCACAGTGTCTCTGGCACAAGAAAGGGAAGCCAGGCCCAAGGACAAAGAGGGGGCCAGTCTTTGTCCGATGCCACCTGGTGCAGCCGGCGGCGTCACCCGGGAAGGGAGCGCCTGGGGATGGCGGTGGAGCTCTGTGCTGATGGCCTGGACATCACACACAACGTGCCCACGCAGGGAAGGTACGCGCATGTATGACATGCTCATCGCTGCACGCGGAGAGACCTCTTCAGGCTCTCACACTGTTGGGCACACGCAGCTGAGAGAGGTGGGAACGCATGGCCTGATAGAGTCAGGGTCCAAAGTCACTTCCCCTTAGGACTCCAAAAGGGTTGTATTCATTAGAGGTAAACGTGGGGCAACGTGTCTTTGTTCGAGACACACCCACCTGAGCTCGCTGGAGGGCAGCTGAGCCTGCCGCTTCTCTTGCTCCCCAGCCCGCGCCCTGGCGGGGGCCCGCGCCCGAGGGTTTCCTGGCCGCCGCCACTCCGCCACTTCCAGCGCCTGGCCTGATTCAGGGCAGCTGGCGCATCTCCGCTCGGGGCAGCAGAGGTGACCTAGGACCCAGCTGTTTCGCATAAAGGCCGCCCTGGGCCCAGAGACCAGCCCAGGAACATGCCCCTGTGAGGGCCACTAACGGGCCAGGACAGCTGGACCAGGGTCGCTGGGAGCCATGCTATCCTTTCTCCTGCCACCCGTGAACCTGGGAGCATGCGGGGGCGCCTCGCGGGGGGAGAACCTAAAAATCAAGGCTCTCAGCGAGGGGCAGAGCTGGGCTGAGAGGAGGCGGCCCCCCCCGGGCTCCGAGCCAGCCACGCCCGACGCCAGCGCCGTCCCTGGAGTGGGCACAGGTGCCACCATGTCCTTATTTGCTTAAGTGAGTTTGCACACACATAATGTGTTTTCCTCTTAGGACCTGAAGAGCTCTCGCCAGACGCCGGTCTCCGTGGTGACACTTGGGGGAAAGAGCCCAGGTTTTGGTTGGCAGCTAGAGCCACAGGAATGAGCAGGTGACGATAAACTAGGCAGAGCGATGGCAGCACTAGTGACAGCCTAGCAACCAGACCGAGGGAGGTCACGGGCCTTTTCCAACCTCAGCCGGCCGGTGTCACGTGGGCGTCTGCGGCCTGTGGATGAAAGGGCTCCGGGGCGGCAGGAGGACACGCAGCGGCGGGTGACGGGAACGGGCTGTGAAGGGGTTCCAGGTCCCATGACCGACCGGGAAAGGAAACAGCTGTGTTTATTCTGGAGCTTGCTCCCCGGGGTCATGACTGGAACCTTCAGGGAGTTGCAAAGCTTGCTTTTAAACATTTTTTAGAATAATTGTGCTAAGTATACAAAGCATAAAATTTGCCACTTCAATTATCCCTCGGGGCACGGCTCGATGGCACACGGCGCAGCCGCACCGCTGTGCAGCCATCGCCACCGTCTGCCTGCGGAGCCCCTCTCATCCTTCCCAAACGCCTGCGCCTGCTCGTCCGCGCTGGTCGGACGGGCGCTCCCTGCCCCGCCTCCCCCCGCCCCTGGACACCAGCAGTCCGCTCCCTGGCCCTGGGGCTTGGCGGCCCCCAGGCACCTCCCGCAAGCAGAGTCAACAGTACGTGTGCTTTGGCGACGGCTCATTTCACGCGGCCTCACGTCCCTGTGGCCGTCCGCACTGCACTGCGTTTTGTGTGTCCGTTCACCGTGGGTGGACATTTACGTTGTTTTACACTCTTTGGCTACTGTAACGATGCTGCTGCGAACCCAGGTGTACGAACGTCTTCCAGACTCTGCTCTCAGTTCTTCCGGGTATATACTTAGAAGCAGGATTGCTGGACCATAGGATAATCCCATGTTCACTATTTTAAGGAACCACCCCACTGTCTTCCACGGTGGCTGTGCCAGTTTATATTCCCACCAGCAGCGCATGAGAAAATCTCCAGCCCTCCCATGACCTCACCAGCCCGTGTTAGTCCCTGTTTTCGTGTCATGTGTGTGTTTGAGTAACAGCTACGCTAATGAGTGTGAAGTGACGTTTGATGGTTTTGATTGTGCATCTTCTTACGATTAGTGATGTTGAACATGTTTTCATGAGCTTTCTTGGCCATCAGTAGATCTTTGGAGAAATGTCTATTTAAATCCTTTGCCCATTTTTGATCGGGTTATTGGGCGCTTTTTTGTTGTTACACTATTGCAGGCACTCTTTCTACAGCCTGGACACTAACCCGCCCTGGTGTGTGGCTTGGTGCATCTCCTCCCGCCCGTGGGCTGCCTCGTCACTCTGCCGACAGTGTCCCTGGCGCATGCCGCTTTAACGTGGGCGTGGTTCAGTGCGTCTGTTTCTCTGTGCTTTCGGTGTCATCCCCAAGAAACCAATGCCAGATCGAATGTCACGAAGCTTCCCCCGTGTTCTCCTCTAAGGGTTTTATAGTTTTAGGCCTCGTGCTTTGGTCCATTTTCAGTTACTTCTGCACATGGTGTTCAGTGACGGTCTGACTTCAGTGTGTGCGTGTGACTGTCAGTTGCCCCAGAGCCATTTGTTGAAAGACAATTCTTCCCCCACCGAATGGCCTTAGCACCCTGGCTGAAAATTAAGTGAGCATAGGTGTGTGGTTATTCTAGACTCTCGGTTCTGCCCCACGGGCGAACGGTCTGTCTTTGTGCCAGTACCGTGCTGCTTTGGTTACTGAAGCTACGCAGGAAGGCTTGAAATCAGGAAGTACGAGACCCTCAACTTTGTTCTTCTTTTGTAAGATCGTTTTGGCTCCTTGGCACCCCTTGAGATTCCATATGATTTCAGGGTGGATTCTTCTATGTTTGGAAAAACACCATGGGGGTTTTGATAGGGATCCCATGAAACCTGCAGCTCTGTCCGGGCAGTATCTTAACAATATTGTCTTCTAAGCCATGGAACCCCGGGGGCATTTCACTCATTACTATCTTTTTCAATTTCTTCCAGCAATGTTTTGTAGTGTTCGGTGTACAAATCTGCCACCTCCTTGGTTATGTTTATTTTGAAGTATTTTATTCTTTTTAGTGCTATTAGAAATAAAATTGTCTTTTACAGAGCTTCTCAGCAGACGCTTTCTGGTTCAGTGAAACTCTGGCAGGGAGCAGCAGCCGCAGGTGCAAGTGGCGGCCAGAAGAGGGTGTTAACTGTTAGAACGCCATGGAAACCTTCCGAGTCACCTCGGCGGCGCCCCTGTGTGGGGCGGGGGGAGACAGAGGAGGCAGAGCGGGCCGTGCTTCTGAGTTCCTCCGCCCCGAGACAGCACCTGACCACAGGGCGGTCAGGACACGGGGAAGCGGGGAAGCGCGAGGCTGTGGAGCGCCAGCCCACTCACTGCAGGCGGAGCTAGCAAGCGAGCCCGCTCGCGAGACTCTCAAGACTCTGCGTGGAGATGGGGGAGGGCGAGGCAGACATGCCAGGCACGAGGAGGGGAATGGCGGATGGTCCTCACGGAAACTCCAACTGGGCAAGAAAAAAGTTTCTACCTAAGGGCACAAAGCCATCTAGCAGAGGGGTCCCCTACCCGCAGGCCACGGGCTGTGCCGGTCTCTGGCCTGTCAGGGCCCGGGCCTCACAGCAGGAGGTGAGGGGGGTGAAGCCACGCTCGCATTACTGCCTGAGCTCTGCCCACCCCTGCGCCCCCACCCCCATCCGTGCAAAAGTTGTCTTCCATGAAACTGGTCCCTGTGCCACACAGGTTGGGGACAGCTGACTTAGGATATGCAGAAGTTCTGTATCAACAGAGAACACATAAATTCCTCCTTCCCTCCTTCCTTCTCTCCTTACCTGTTTATCGAGCTAGCTGGCTAGCTGTCATCCATCCGTCTGTCTCTATCTACCTAGCATCACAGATCTCCCTCCTCTTTTTATCATCTTTCTTTCCATTCAGCTTAGAGAAGGAACTCAGTCTGACTGGCTCTCGTCTCTCTGGCCCTGGGAACTTTGAACAGATAGACTCACACATGGCTCATAAAGAGCAATCCCAGAATTCACACAGAGAAAGAGAGACTGAAGGTCGAGAAAGTGGGGAAGACATAAAGAAATAGGAAGAGAGAAGCGTGTGCACAGAGGTAGCCATGTCTTAAAAAAGAATTGTCCCCGTGTGTGTGTGAACTATGTAAAAGGCTGGAAGAACACGCCTCAGAGAGCCGCACAGGCGGCCTCCCGGACAGTCCAGTCCTAGTGCCCACGCGCCCCCAGGGGGCCCGTAGTTCCCCGGTCACCCAGGTGCACCAGGCTGTTTTCTCCGGTGGTGACAGAGGGCCTTGCAAGCTTCCTGCGCACGCGCGACGGGGAAGGGGTGGCAGAGCCCAGCGGGGCTGTGTGCAGACCGGTCCTCGGGATTAGACAGAATTATGAAAGATGATGTATCTTTCTAACTCTGACCTTTAAACTGTCTTGGCTTCAGAAGACAACAGGTACATATTCTGATTTTTATTAAGGTTTCCCTAAAGATTGGAAGGGTAGGTGGTATCTCCCTCAGTGGCACTGCTGGAAGCGGAGCAGCTTTCGGGCCGGGCCCGCCCTGTAACTGCAGGGCCCCAGCCGTGTGACCGGCCGCGGGGCGGTTTTGACAAGATGGCCTTCGCAGAGCTCCTCGGGCTTCTCACGCGTGGCTTCCTCTGGTTGTGCTTCCCAGGGGCCCTGCCTGGGGAGCCCAGACCCTCCGACCACGGGGCCTGCGTTCGGGAAACGACCCAGGGGGCAGCGTGGCGCTTGCTCTGCTTAAGCGGTGGCCGTTGGTGGAGGGGCAGGCCGCTGGGAGGGTGGATGGGCGACGGCAGTTCCGAGAGGCTGGACCAGGATGGCCTGAGGCCCCGGGGCGGCCGAGCCAGAGTCGGCTGCGAAGCCCCGCTCCATGCGGGG